TTTATAATAGTGGTTACCATGACAGCTGGACTACTGCCATTCTGCCTCCCTCTTTGAATGCTCAGGTGTACTAAGAGGAATAGACTGTAAGTGTCAGGCATACAATGTACTATAAAAGAAATGTTCTATGTATTGTCACATAAAAGGGCTTGGGAGTGTCAGTAAAATAGGATAAGACCAATTAGTGATTTTCTCTCTACTCTTTCTCAAGAAAAGTTGATTAGCTGTGTTTTTAACCTTGAACTGTCCAAAATTGTCAGTTACAACATTGTGCTGCCATATACTATTGGTAATGATAATACTGTAGAGTGACAGCTAATACGTTATCTCAGACTACTTACTAGAGAGGCAAGACAAACAGCCAGACTGTAATGGCCACGTGTATGGACTACACATGTATACATGGGCGCTGACACTGTAATTACCATGATTACTGGACATGCTGGAAGGGAGGATGCACTAAATCTTCATAATGGAAAGAATCCAATTTGAGCAGTGATTCAAATGTGAATCATTAATGGTCTGGTAAATTTGGGATAAGTAAATCATCAGGGGGCAGGCGTTAATTGGAACGTGGAGCTTTACGTTAATGTAATGACCACATTTGATGATCACTGTGTTTGAAGCTGTAAGCCATGATGATCTAATTGTAAGGAGAAACACCAAGACTTCCATGAATCTGTTAGGATGATCAACCTGATTAGACAGTAATCATAGTGGCGTCTCCTGCCACTCAGCAAGACACCGACAGTGTAGTCAGAGCAGTGTCTGTCAGAGGTTGTGTAGACCCCTGTTGAGACACTGGTTACTCTGCACTAATAGTAGCAATACATCATTTGTTTGTTTAGTCTTCATATTCTTATCAACCTGTGAAGATCCAGGTTAGAATTGGTCTTCAGTAACCCATGCCAATGTCGTAGGAGGCAACTTATGGGGCCTAGTGGTCAGGCTCGCTGATTTGGTTAACACACGTCATCATTTCCCAATTGTGTAGATTGATGCTCATGTTGATCACTGGATTGTCTGGTCCAGACTCGATTATTTACAAACCGCTGCCATATGGCTGGAATATTGCTGAGTGCAGCGTTAAACAACAAACCAACCAACCAGTCCTATTCTTATCACTGTACACGACATACTGAAGCAAATGACTTGTCCAATATTGATTATCAAACCATATTTGTTTAGGTCGTGTATGATTTCCCAGGTGGAGAATCTGGGTTAGAAGAGGTCCCAAGTTATCTTTGTTAAATGGCCATGAAGGATCCTATTATAGGTTCGACTCTGTGACTTGGTTTATGGAGTGTGATCATCCTTTTGATGACACTCAACATTGTTCAGAGCATCATTAATGGTTAGTGTCATCCTCGTATGACTATTCACAGGCAACCATAAGACTGGTAGACTGCTGCTTAATGCAACAAACCTATTGTGCATGAATACGAGCCTGAAAGTAAAGGGTCCTTATATTAACCCAGTCCATGTTTATGTATGCTAATGTTTAAAGTAAACATTTAGTTTGTCCCTGTGTTCTAGATTTGAATACTATCTCAGGAAACTGGCTCAGGTATCCTGTTCATTTCTAACACAGATAATATACTTTGAAATTACATTTCATGATTAATATTCTTTGATATTTTTAATATTAATTAATTCACAGGTTTAGAAAAATTAGTTTAAGCTCAATTTTCTAATATTGAAGACCTTTATAACTGTTGTAAGAAGTCTCTTGGCTATAGCTCCTACTAGGCTCAAATCAAAGGCATGCACCTAACAATAGTTCCAGTGCTGTGTTTGTATCAGATTATTTGGTCATTATGCATATTTGATATTATGATGAGAAATGAATGAATGACACTGTTTACATAAGATAAGAGTCAATGCTAAGGGATAAAAAATCATCTACTGATGTAAAAACTAAAATCTATTCAGTATTCAGAGCATTTGAATGAGGAGAAGGCTGTTGAATATCTTTCTGTAGATAGATTCAAGTAAGACATTAGACATACTGCATGTGTATGTGCAATTCCAAATATACTCAAATATATCATCGATGACACATCAGATGAATGGACCACATGTCCACATGTTTGCACCAAAGTCTATAAGAAACACTGGACTCCGTCATGTTCAAGTAGGCTGAAATCTAAGCAAGAACCTTCACTGACATTTACTACAGTAATCGAGTATGGTGACAGTACTTCCAGCTTGGTCCTTTGTCATGTTCATGTGACTTCCTACTGTGGGCCAAGTGGAAGCAATGTTTCCTGAGCTGTGATAACCCCACCACCTCCGGACCCCTCACCACCACCCCTGGTGCCCCCTGCCTCTCTCAGCTGAACTCCAAGTGTTATCTGTAGGGAGCAGGCAGGTGCCTGTTGTTGGACCTGCTGTGCTGTGATATGTAGATACTGCATGTACAGAAGAATATTTCCATATTCAGGATGACATGTCAGAAGTTTAGAGACCATGCTGATCATAATAGCTTTGCAATGCATATCATGATTACTTGTCAGAGTTTTAAATTAACTTTTATTTTCACTTGTCTGTAAAAACGACCTCCTAGAGAGTTGCCTTCTATATTTGATAATAAAACTGGTAGTCCATGCCGAAAAGTCACTGGTCCTTCCTGAATTTTACTAGTCTCAGACTAGCAAATTTATATCGGCTAGTATGACTAGATCATGAAACAGCATTGACCATGTCCCTATCTGCTCAAATCTATGTCTAGGGTATCTGGATATTGGCAGAAATGTTGAATTAAAATGTGTTCGCTTGAGGTTTAAATTTGCATCTATCTAAATTGCTTAACTATTTCATGACAGGGATTTAAGATGATAGATGTAGTCAATCCTTAGAAGGTGCCAACAGTAATAAATATGATACGTAACAGCTTGTTTATGATGGTAACAGTAAATGGATTACAGTACAGGTGTTATTTACAAGTTCATTAGGGGATGGGCACCTTACTGTATTAATCATGTTGATGGGAATTGTGCATGTTCAGTGAGTCAGAAACATGACCAAGTGTATGTGTATTCTAGATGTTCCATATTCACTTTACTGAGTGCCATATTGCATGAACATGCTTGACAGTATTTTCAACTCATCAAATATGTGACACTGGAGTGAAAATGTTAATTTCATTGCTTAGCACTTAGAATAGACAGAAATATACAAGAGGTATGTGATATATTAACTGATTGAGGTCTACTTATTTTTAAGGACAGCAACCGATTGTCAAACGAAATATCTTAAAGACAATTTTTATGAAGTATATAGAAAATGCCCATAAAAATTTTGAACAATCATAATAGAATGCTATTTGTCTCTAGCAAACAACTCTATCCCCATGTCTGAAACAATGTCCAAGAAAGAGAGTGTTTGCATGTAGTCAAACCCTTATCAGCCTGTTTTCTTACACTTCCCACAGAACACTCTTCTTCCATCTCATGTACCAGGATGTGTAGGAGATAAGGCATCATGTGTTACTATCAACAGCGTACCTTCCTGTTTAGTTTACACACATGCTGCACACACAATGTACACAGACAACATACAGCACATTGAGGAAGGGGTACATGTGTAGTATCAGGTCAGTACACACACAGCACATCTGTGTAAATATACTGTACATACACTGTATACCTGGTCAGTCAGTCTGGAAGTATCTTAGTTGGCTTCTGTACATACTGTCATTAAGAAATTCACATTAACACAATATCCTGGTGGATTTGTTCTTTGAATTCAAAGTCATTGTTTTCCCATCCTGCTAAGGGTAATGATAACATGTGCACTTGTAATAAGCAGCTAATCTAAAATATTCTGTTGTGTGACTGGATGCATGATAGAACTCATCGGGCAGTTTTGGCCAAAGAGTGGGGTAGTATATTGTCTGTCATACAAATTTTCCTATTGAATTAATTGTACAAAAATGCCCAAGATATTTTGAACATTAAGTAGCTCTAAAGCAACCCAGCTTTTATCTTCATGGTTATGAGTGTGTTAACAAAAAAGTTGTATAAACAAAATAGTTTGTGAGTGACTATAAACATGAGAAATATGCATGAATGTGGTAACATATGGTCATTATTGACCCATGAAATGTTATTATTTGTGTTGTTTCAATGTTGTTGGTTGAGTGGCAGCCAGGAATTTGCAAACCTTAGCTATGAACATGATATTGACAAGATGAGCTTGATTAGTTGCTGGAATCTACATATTCAGCAATCATCAACACTTGTTTCGCTGCCATAATGGGTGAAACAGTTTCAACTGAAGCATTTGTCCCTCTTCATTTGGTTCATAGTTCATCAACCATGTTATCAACAGAGTAGTGTTAAGACTAGTAGCAATTACGTTTATCATGTTAAATGATTGGGCACACTGTGTTCTCAATGAGGGGCGGTGGGGTAGCCTAGTGGTTAAAGCGTTGGCTCGTCACGCCGAAGACCCGGGTTCGATTCCCCACATGGGCACAATGTGTGAAGCCCATTTCTGGTGTCCCCCGCCGTGATATTGCTGGAATATTGCTAAAAGTGGCGTAAAACTAAACTCAGTCAGTCAGTCAGTTTTCTCAATGAGGTATGAAACTTGGAAATGCAGCACCTTGGGCATTCAGGTCATACATGAAAATAATAATGGTCTTGTTCATGTAAACAGGGCACAGTGTGTCCTAATTGGATTTTTTTAAAATGGTCTTGATTCAGTGAGTGAGTGAGTGAGATTAGTTTTACGCCACTTTTAGGAATATTCCATCAATATCACGGCGGGGGACACCAGAAATGGGCTTCACACATTGTACCCATATGGGAAATCAAACCCGGGTCTTTGCCGTGACAAGCGAATGTTTTAACCACTAGGCTAATCTTGATTCACCGTCTCATCATGATTCAGAGCTCTACATGAGTTGTAGAAGGGATCTCCTGTTTAGCGCTGTTTCTAATTATCGCGATGATGTCTATTGTAACATTTCAATGCAATTGTACTTTCAATTTCAGGAGATAACTTGCACTGTCCACCACTAGAACGTCCATACAAGTCCAAGGTCCTTGCTCACTACCCTGAAAACGTACAATGGAACCTGTTCGACAAAGATGCTGTCGGCATGGTAAGTGTTGTTCACCAATCTATAGGAGACTCCAAAGCCCAAAGTGATCTCAGCCCTTAGCCTTGCTCGAAGGCTGTATTGAACGCTGAGCCCATGGATGTATAGTACTGTATATGACCGTCTATAAGCCGAATTTTGAGGACCAAAAAAAGCAGTCTGTAGAAGGGGGTTGTCTTATCCATGGGTTACGCTTTAGTCAAACTTTTTTCCAGGGGTAAGAAAACAAAAATTTGCAATTAAACATCACTAGACAAGATTATTTACCTTTTAAGTTACAAGTTGTTTTTGCTGGGCATTGTATTATTTGCAGGGATTAAGATTACCGTGCGTATTTGTCTCGTACACAAAGCCGGAAATAGCAATCAGCTGTGCACACGTTTCCCGGCGAACAAGTTCAAACATGCACAATAATATAACGGGACGAATTCTGACGCAGTCATCAGTAAAATATTATACAGAATACCATTATTTAACCCAAAGAAATATATCCTAGCATTGTGTAATTTTAGTTACAGTTTTTGCTCTATAAATTAAGATTACCGTGTGTATTTGAGCACAATCATACATCGTTTCCGCTTAACAAGTTCAAACATGCACAATAATATAATCGGGATGAATTCTGGCGCAGTCATCAGTAAAATATGATACAGAATACTATTATTTAACCCAAAGAAATATATCCTAGCATTGTGTAATTTTATTTACAGTTTTTATGTAAAATATATATAATCAACACTAAGGTTATACGGACCCTCATGAACGTGGTAAGCACATGGAATGGGGTAAAATACGGAAGCCATTTAAATTCACACATTTTTACCGATGTTACTGTAAACTAGCAGTCAATGGAAAACGAGGCGGTAATCAGTTCGTGATTGTTGAATGGGGTAAAATAAGCAAGCCAGTTTGTTGCTACAATAAATATGATATTTAGAGAAGCAAAATATATTTTGCATTTTCTGTCAACTACACTTCGTTTCGATCCGTGAGTAGACACAATACTGTAAACGTATTAAATTTCGCGCAGGTTTTATTTTCGCGCTTTTCGCGCAAAACATTTTAGCACGAAAATTTATACACCGCGAATAAACCTGTCATTCATTCAGTCTAGCCACCTCGCCCCTGAGTTGTTACCATAACACATCAAGTTTGAAGACAGAAATCTACGGGAATCTTAAAATGACGACTGATAGTAGCATAAAGAATCATACTTAACTGTCGCTATAATGGATTTCCCAAAACATAATTAAATAATGAGCCAAATCCCATCACGAATTAGCAAAAACAGCAATGTGTGTTGTGGCCGCCATGGAAATTGGTCACATGACAGATGGTTTGATACAAAACAGATTACCATGAAACGACTCGAAAGAAATAATACAGCAGTATTTTATTTATTCATTAAGATTTTATTTACCAGTACATCATGTAGCTTAATAGTCACTTAACACTCAATCATCTCATTCACAACAACCCAGCTTGTTTGAAATCACAAAAGAGCTTCATATACAGTAGAAGTTAATTCATCAGATCGTCAGAATTCGGAACATAAGACTGATGTGTTTTTCATCTCTTCCGTGAGTAAACGGATTACTGTGTACTAGTATATCGCACAGATAGGGATTTCCGGTGAGTAAGCAATAAACGCCGCCTGACAGGTTAAGCCACTCTGTTTGTTTTCACTGCTATTAGTGGCGGCCAAAGAGACAGCTGCCAGTTCCGGCAATTACTGATTGCGCGAATAATTGACCGCGCGATGTAGTCTAAACTGTCAATTCCGCGAAAATTGCACCACGCGAAAATAAGTACGTTTACAGTATATATGACAGTGAATTCTTTGAATAATGTGGACTTATAATTATTGGTAACTGCCAGTTGTCTGTGGTCTGTGTTTGCCGCGATTAGGACCCCATCTCGGGGGATCGACTTATGCACGAAACATACCATTTTGACACTGATTTTAAGGGTCAAGTTTGGGGGTCGTCTTATCCATGGGGTCGTCTTATAGACGGTCATATACGGTAAATTTTTAAACTTATCCTATCTCACGACTTGCACCTCTCTCTCTTGCTTCGACTTTTAGTGGAACGACTGTAAACATTTTCCCATAGGCCTCCTTGTCCATTCGCCCGTGCACTTAATTAGCTTCCTAGTTCCTAATAAAGCTTGCAGCATGCTCGACTAATTGCCCACGTGACTACCTTGCATGATCATTCTCTTTCTTGTCGCACGACTGTGTGGACGTGCTGTATATTAGGGACATTATTTCACCCTAACATCATGGGGAAAACTGATAATCAGTCAAGGAAAGGAAAGTTTGTGCTAAATGCAAGACGAATTATTCGTCCCTCGACCCTCACTCGTCTTGCAGTGACTGTATTGGACAATGTAACTGGAACAAACAATGTGGCAAGTGTAATGCACTAAAAGATGAGGATTTTAAGGCCTACCTTCAAGAGGATTTTATGGACCTTCATTTGCTCCCGAGAATCACGCCGATAGGACAGGAAATCAACAGAATCTGATCCCACTCCCGCCAAGCGTATCAAGTTACAGCGACAGAAAATTGTACCTTCACGCATCAAGAGAGAAATCACGGCGCCTGTGGTTCAAGAGGATTTTATGGACGCTTCATCAGATTCTTACTTATCTGAGGACGTTCGCACCTATTACGTCGCATCAATCACATCCTTCCATAGCGTCAGATCACTTTCAACATCAAAGTAGATCACCTAACTCGATGGTTGTGATCGACACCTGTTACAATCATTATAGATCCGATCGATCACAGTTCTGGTTAGTGCATTATCCAGATCCACAAATCCAGATCACCTCTACAGCGAATTCGGACTAGTTCTTCATATCATACGGATCACCTAGCCATACTAGGGAATCCAGATCACCGGCTTACCAACCTACTGGTGCTCCTCGAGATCTGATACTGTTCCTCTGACTGACGTGCAGGTGATCATTGCTGTGATACCAGTAATAGGCCTACAGTCCCTTATGATGTTCCGTCTACACGCTCTGAGAATCCTTCGACTCACTCTAGGATCATCGCTGAGTCATGGGAACCTGATAACAATTCCACTCCTACAGCGACTCCGGATCTAAATATGATGATCAGGGCCATAACCTCAGCCTAGAACCAAATACAGCCTTCTACTCCAGCCCATCCGGCTTCGGTAGCCCCTGGCTCTTCATCTGGTCCACCTCCTGAGATTGATCTAGTCCAAATAGCCATGCCTGCATCTCCCGCTCACTCTGAGTTATCTACCCCTGGGGGGTAGCTTTGCAGCAGTTGAGACACCTCAGGTACTCCTTTGGATTGTTGAGAAGCTCCAACTTCCCTTGAGTACTTCAGCAGATTACCTGGATCACTCTTATGCTCTTAGGAACCGGGATTGGTCTACCATCACCCTACCACCTCGACCTTGTATTCTGAAATTATCCAGTACACTAAATGATGGTTTCAAAAGCCTGAAACGAATTAAGGACGGATTCTCTGCTCCCAGATATAATCCTTCTACCTCTCATGTCCACGGCCTAACAAAAATATCTACGGCTCCAACAGTTGATGAGGATATTGGAACCCTGTGTGGCAAACGAGCTGCTTCGCCCTACCTTATTGAGGACCGAGAGTTGGCTCACATGGATTCAGCCGTGAGAAAGACGTTGCCATCTATTAGTTGCGTGATTGCAGCAGTCGACGCTGTTAACACTGCTCTGGAGCATACTTGCTCTGATCAAGACGCTTACATTCGAGGATGCATGACTTTAGCTCTGGACCAGTTCCAAATTATCCTGGATCAGTTGTCTCATTTTTTTGGGCTACACTCTTGCTGTTCGCTGACATGGACCCCTTAACATCTCTTCATGGGAGGAGCGATTTAAAATAGAACTGTTTCACCAGCCTTGGTGTACTGACTCCCTCTTCAATGGTAGCATCCAAGAAGTATCTAATAAAGTTGATAAAGAAACCCACTTTCAAGTCTCGATTGAACTGTTAAAGATACAGAAGTCACAGCTCCAGGACTCATTAAAACAGCGTCGAACTGCACAGTTCACCCCTACCAATCCAGATTTATGCAATCTCTTTCGTGGCGCATCCACTCAAGGCCGTGGCAGAGGAAACAGATCTGGCCGTGGTGGTTCCTCCCGTCGCCCCCCCAGGGACCAGCGCTGGGAAGCAGTGACGACTTGAGACAATCGCACGACTGGGACCTCCCGCCCCCAGTCGTTCCGATTTACAACACTCCGGTAGGCGGGAGATTGCAGATCTTCGCCCCGCATTGGACCATCCTCAAAGATCTGTACGTCACCAACCTGCTACTTCACAGCTATCAGCTACTTGTTATTGGCAGTCCACCTCTGACGTCGCATCCGGTTCATCGCTCATATCCTGTGGACCAGCTTCAGACTCTGCAATCCACAATGGGTACGCTATTAGACAAACTCGCAATAGAGCTCCTAGGTTGTTCAATGCCCGATTCCTGCTTCCACCGCCTCACTTCAGGATGGTGTCGATCAACCTTTTACGCACCATCCTGAAGAAGGGAGACTTCCTCATCAGCCTAGATCTTCAGGTTCCGATATATCCAGAACACTGGAAGTACCTTTGCTTTGTGTTCAATGGGAATCACTACCAATGGAAAGTCCTACCATTTGGAATTTCCACGGCCCAGTAACTTTTTACCCAAATTACCAAGTCCATAACAAGCTTCCTCCACTTTCAAGGGATCACCTTCGAAAGCCACATAGACGATTGCATCCAGGCTCAACAGGATCCGATCGTATTGCTTTGCCAGCTACAGTTCACCACCACGCTGCTCAGACAGTTAGGGTGGCTGTTGAACATCGCGAAATCGGAACTAATACCGACTCAGAAACTCCAATTCATCGGAGCAATGTTCGACACTCATCAGGGGATGATGTTCGTACCTCACGACAGGTGGATAAAGATTCAGCAATGCATTCCTCCAGCACTGTCTCAGGCGAGAACCTTACGACAGTGGCAGGAGCTACTGGGCCTTCTGACGTCAGCTCAAGCCTTAACGTACAGAGGCCAGCTCCAACTTCGGCCAATACAGCGATTTCTATGCCCGTACCTTCAGGCCGACAACCCCAAGGAACTAATTTGCCTTCCAGAACCGCTTCGTCCAGTCCTTCAATGGTGGCTCGACGAATGGAATGTTTGCGCCGGAGTCTCTATGATGCCTTTTGCACCGTTTCATCACCTATTCGTCGATGCATCCCTCATGGGTTGGGGAGCTCACTTCCTCGACCACAAAGTGGCCGGGCTGTGGTCATCCCGACGAACAGGTACTTCATATAAATGAGCTGGAATTTAAGGCGGTAATTCAAGCCATCTCACATTGGGCAACAGAGCTTCAATCAACCAGTCTGTTGATCCAATCAGACAATTTGACAGTGGTTTGGTATATAAATCATCTAGGCTCGACAGGCTCGGCGAATCTGCTACAGTGGGCGATCAGGTTCTTCCATCTCATCGACTCACTCAACATCGTAGCCAGAGCCAGACACATTCCCGGGGTAAAAAATGTGACCGCCGATCCAACTGACCGTCCCCGACAGAGTGGAAGTTACTGCCCCAGATCTTTCAGTCGATGATCTACCCATTATCACGACCTCAAATAGATCTGTTCGCCACAAGGTTCAACAACCAACTTCCAAAGTTCGTATAACCAATCCCAGACTTCTTGGCGTGGGACCTCGATGGTTGGCAATATCATGGGAGGGTCTCAATGCCTACGCGTTCCCCCTCCAGCTCTGCTACCAAAAGTTATACAGAAACTATTGGCCACCAGCAACATACTACTGCTTTTGGTCGCACCCTTCTGGACAGCGAGAAGTTGGTTCGTCAACCTAAGAAGCCTGGCAGAGCCAAACCCAGTACCGCTTCCCAACCGGGATGACCTACTTCTTCACCCTCACTCAGAACTGCGCCACAGGTCACCTCAGACCCTCAATCTACACGTTTAGCGCATCTTCAGAGGTCTCTCATAGCTAAGGGCTTCTCTCGCCGAGTAGCCACAGCTATCACTTCAGCGCATCATACTTCGACCCGTTCCTTGTATGACAACAAGTGGAAGAAGTTTGAAGACTATTGCAAGCTTAGCGGAATTGCATCTCCCTCTTCCACCTCGGCTCAGGTCGTTTCTGAGTTTCTCCAGCATCTCCACACTACTAAGAAACCCAAGGGTACTACGTTAGCTACCTACTTAGCCGCCATTAACTACCACCACGGGCACGAAGAGTTCCACTGTTCCCGAGTCTACTACTGCTCCTATAGACTCTCTGACCAGTCCAGGAAGTTCAGACCTCCGGCCTGGGATCTGTCCGTCGTCCTTCGTCATATGATTTCTACAGATTATGAACCTTTAGAAGACAAGGACTTGGAACAAGTGACATTCAAGACATTCTTCCTGGTAGCTTTGGCTTTCGCTGCTCGTATATCTGAACTGCATGCGCTTGATGTCAATCGGGTGTGGTTCGAGCTGAAGAAGCATGGCAAGGCTTTCCTGGTCTCCGCTGGGACTTCATTGCAAAAAACCAACTGCCAGGGCAACCGGACCGGATATTTACCATTCCCCCGTTGTCCACCATTCTTGGGCGTGATGATAATGAAGATTTGACACTCTGCCCTGTTAGGGCTCTACACTTTTAACTTGCTGCCTCCAAGGATCGTCACTGGCTACGGAAGCGCCTCTTCATACCCTTGTCGACCGCTTCAAGAACTGAGGTTTCCCGGACCACATCGGCCTTCTGGATGCGTGCCACGATCCTGCGAGCCTACACCTTTGCAGGGTTGCCTCCTCCAGCCACTTCCAATCCTCATGAAACTCGTGCACTAGCCTCAATGATGGCCCTCCATAGCAACTGCTCCTTGACCGCTATCATGGAAGGTTTGTTTCTGGCGTTCTGATACAGTCTTCTCTTCACATTACCTGCAAGACCTGTCTGTCACGGATGTCCAGGGACTACACCAGTTCGGACCTCTTGTACTGGCTCAGCAGCTTACATCGGCCCAACAACGCAGATGAGGGACGGTTCCGCATTCGCGTTACTACTTCCTTGTATATACTGAATAAAAGTTGAACTGGATCTCAACCTTTTGTTCTCATTATATGGGTTTAAGAACTACTTCACTTGGCCTCCATACCAAGGCATCGGAATACAGCCACCTAGAATGGCCCTATGGACCTGAGGCACACTCAGTATGACGATGCAGAGGTGTTCGACCTCTACTCCACGGAGCAATTACGTCCAGTGAAATGTGACACTCCCGAATTCCAGTGGATTTTGTTGCGTTCTGCCTCCAAAGTTGCCGGGCACATCCTTTGACTAAGCTTAGGCAAAGGAGTGAGGGTCGATTTGATGCTGCCCGGAACTGAACGTTAAACCTTGGAGATGCCGAGTTGTGTTTACTTTCACCCGCCTCGGTCGGTGTCTGGGGGGCCTTCTTGAAGCAGGACTTCTAGTCGCAAGACTTTAATTACGGGGGTACCTTGTAAATCATGGCGAGGCGAGGCTTACTTGCTGAGTGGCGTCCCTTGTCTTGTACAGAAGGTTAATCTGCGGCCCGCTGTCCAACCGTGGGATAAGTACAAGTCGTGAGATAGGATAAGTTTAAAAATTTGGAAATTTTAAGATATATTGTATATTTTATATACTTATCCTATCTCATACGATGGATGCCCGCCCGGCCTCCCCACTACTGAGATTAAAACGTTGGCTCCAAGATGAGAATGATCATTCAAGGTAGTCACTTGGGCAATTAGTCGAGCATGCTGCAAGCTTTATTCGGAACTAGGAAGCTAATTAAGGAGAGCAGCATGGAGTGCACGGGCGAATGGACAAGGAGGCCTATGGGAAAAAGTTTACAGTCGTTCCACTAAAAGTCGAAGCAAGAGAGAGAGGTGCAAGTCGTGAGATAGGATAAGTATATAAATATACAATTTATATTAAAATTTCCAATTCTGTCCTTTAAAGAGGCAAGTCTAGATAAGCGGACAGGATGCCAATCTGTTAGAGGAATATTACATTTTTTAGAAATTATCATGCAAACTATTAATTGTTACCATAGAGACTTGTGCAAGTCTACTCAGCACTGATATCCTCATAACTCTGTTACTTTAATCATCTTATCATACATGGATTACACAACTGTATTCCTAAGGTGACTTTGTGGAAGATGGCAGTGTTGTTTTGTTGTCAGGAGAGGTTGAATATCTGTAGTTGTGTTTGTAGTTCAAATTGTTATGTGTACTCATCAGTAGAAACTGACTTCCAATAACCAACCACAATGATTACCATGCCCATATGACAGTAGAAATTATTACAGTTGTTTTCCCTATGGCATGTCATGGGATCATGTCAAAATGACAGAAAAGGTTACTAAATTAATGTGTAATAAGCTAGTAGTAATACCATGTATGCAAAGTTTATATATGCAAAATATTGCTATTAGATTATATTAATACTGTTTAATCTGATAACAACATATATTTGTTGATTGCATAATTTGTTTTTCTCAAGTCTACCTGACTTTCTACAAACAAGAAAGCATGATTTGTGAACAGTGTTCATAGTTAAGAATTCTTGGAATGTATACAACAACAAAAATGACAGGAGACAAATCTTACTTCTCAGACTTTTTTAATACATGGTGCATTTGAAACATGTCTTGAGACATGACCTTCCTATCTTCTGTTTCATACAGCTGAGCCTGCCAAAAGGGTTGACGTTCCGTACCCAGAAGGATTCTCGCCACCCTCGCTTCCACACCTTCATCATCACTCGAGAAGATGGGTCTCGAGCATTTGGGGCTACGTATGTGTTCTACGAGGAGGTGGGGAACAAGCAGATCTGTGCAGCCATGCAGACACTGCAATCCATGTTCCAGGCTGAGACTGGCCCCAGTCAGCACCGCTCATCCAACTACCCCCCTGTCCCCCCACGACAGTCCAGTCTTTATGAAGAAGATCATCCCAGCCAGCAGGGAGAAGGTGAAGACATTTGACATGAGTCGGGACAAACTGTATGTGACAAAGTGTATCTGCCTTGTGACACAGATGCCGTATGTTCGTGTGTGTAAGACTTACCTGAAGCAATTGCACGAGGCGGTGACCCGCCAGACACAACCGCCTCTGCCTCTTGAGTGTTACGTGTATAACATGCTGTATGAGATCCCTCTTCCACCACCGGGACGATGCATGAAGCTGTTCGGTGTCTCTACACCTATCTTTTGTCAACGTCCAGGTGAGTTCTTACTGATGCTACAGGTGAATTGTCTGTGATCTAAGAAACCTACTTACACTAAAACATTTTTAAATGTTTTAATGAATATTGTCTTGTTTGATAATCAGGGACAACTGTTTATCTTGTTTGATGAATAATCTTACAGCATCCCATTGGCCAGTTAATCATGCTATTGATCTAATGCAGTTTTAGTTGTCATCATTTGTTCGTCTAGAATAATCTAATAATATAACCTTGTGACAAATCTCATATCAAGCCTTTCTCATGTGAACTTTGTAAACTGTTTTGTCAAAACAAAAGAAGAATCTCGAAGGAATCAGGATCAATTAATTGATTTTGGAGAAGCCTCTCCCAATAAGACATCAATAACACTGATCTGGTTTCTCCAACACTAGTTTAGACATGGTAATGTGAAGTTATCATGATCATGAAGAAACATTTTAATGATTGAACTATAATTAGTTATACTTATATCTTGTACTGGATGGTGTTTAGATAATGTTGTCCATGTGTCTTGCCAGGTCTGTCTGAGCTGCCTCTGTTTGATTACTCTCTGTGGGATCTGTTCCACAAGCTGGGGATGGAGAATGTTCTGCAGGTGTTCACTAGCATCTTGCTGGAACACCAAATCTTGCTGTACTCATCAGGTGAGTCTAAGCAGCTGGTAACAGTAGCCCAGCTCATTAACATTAGCAGCAGTTGTCCTATATAGGGGTAGACTGGTATTTGTTATCAATAGTCGCGTTACACTTGATATTCAAGACATTTGTCAATGTTCCTATGTAATATTACTTCTATTTACTCTGCTTATTGTTGTCATAAATATTGTTTGGTGAGAATTTGGCATTTTATCCCTTACATTTTCCACAACACACATAAAAGTGCTTAAAGGAAAAGATATCACATTTCACATTAACCATCTTTACTTGAAAACCCTATAAATCAATTATGAGTTTAGATGTTATGCACTGCAGGGAGATGCATCTAACAATCAATAACATGGGGCAATAATTGGATCAAGGTGCCAGTATCAAAACTGAACTGTAACAACTGTCAGTCATGAAAATCATATCCCATGCATATTTATCATTAAGCTGTCAAATATAATATGATCATGTGAAAATGGAGACCGTGAAACTATTACCTCAAGCAGAATCATCATTGATTTTTACTTCAGTGAATACCAGTTCTGCAGAGGATGACACATAATTATACTATTACTTTTTCCCCAGATTACCACAAGTTGATGCTTGTTGCGGAGAGTATAAACGCACTCATCTGTCCCTTCTCCTGGCAACACGTGTATGTCCCCATTCTCCCTGCTTCCCTGCAGCACTTCCTAGATGCCCCTGTGCCATTCATCATGGGGCTGCACCGTGGCCAAGAGGACCGCTCAGATCTCAAACTGCCCAGTGAGGTACGACTTATAGACATGTTTTGAATTCATGGTTGACATATTAGTGAAATGACAGACACCAGTTCGATTATGTTTTTGGTGTATATTCAGTATTTTTGGTTTACAGAAAACTTATTTTACTTGATTTACTCATGACAAATCTATTGGGTTGCTGTAGAAGAATATGACATTATGACCCAATTTTTGAAGATGTTTGTGTAAGCCATTTGGTTCAAATGTCTTTTTGCTATTGGTTCATATGATCCTTGGATATCAAGTACCCAATTATACCAACCAACCAGTCTTTTTGACCGACTATGTTGTGAGAATTTAAGAGAATAACAACAAAATAGTTGCAATTTTTAACAAAAGGTGGATTGTTTTCCAAATTTGCCTGCCAAGAAGCTCTTAGATTACAGTCCTAGATAAATTCCTTCATATATGATTATCTCAAAAAGCCCACACACAGCATGAGATGAATACTTCTGTGAAAAGTAATGTGAAGTATTTGTACAGCATGCTGAAAGCCTGGTCTTGTCTTTCAGGCCAACATGTGTTTTGTTGACATTGACCTGTGTGTAGTGGAGGTGGCTGAAGACCTGCCTGTGTTTCCACACCGGACAGAGCTGATAGAGGAACTGACCCCAGTCATCCAGGAGTACCAGGACAAGCTGGGAAGGGAGGCAACTACCACCAGCACCAAGAGCTACCCTGGTACACCACGCAGAGATAACAACAAGGTCCTATCACAGACCGCAGAGTCTGGAACTGGGAGCTGGCCGAACTCGCCCAAGAAGATGGAGATTCTACAACAGAGTGAAGCATGGTTGAAGATTTCTGACCTGGCAAAGAAGACAGGAGTATGGGAATCCATTGAGGATTTTGCTGAAGACGGCAAGATGGCTGCAAAAGAGAAAACGAGGGAAGATCCTGATCCAAGCATCATGCCTACGAATGAGGTTGATGAACTTAAGTTTAACAACTGCATCAGAGAGATCTTTTGTAACAGATTTGTTCATATGTTCATGTCATATGAGGCATTTGTGATCCAACCTTCACAGGATATGGACTCTTGGCTGAACAGCAGAGAAACCATGCACAACTTTGACAAGGCAGCGTTCCTCAGTGATCAGCCAGAAACTCATCTACCCTTCCTCTCTCCCTTCATAGAAACGCAAATGTTCACTACATTCATTGACAACAAGATTGTGTCTCAGTGGGAGACCACTGATGCTTCTCTGACACTATTTGATGACAGGATTAAGGCTCTGAGGGAGTCAGGAGTAGAGATGAGGACGGATTTCTACAGTGACTGTTCCACAGCTAAGGATACAGGTGAGGGCCAGGCTGTGTGTTCAGTCATCATACAGTATTGGTGGGGGCAGTGGGGTAGGGTAGTAGTTAAAGCGTTCCCTCTTCAGGCCAAAGATTCGGGTTCGATCTCCCACATGGGTACAATATGTGAAGCCCATTTCTGGTGTCCTCCGCCATAATATTGCTGGAATATTATTAAAATCAGCGTAAAACTAACCTCACTCACTCAGTATTGATGCAGTTGGTTCATTTGGGAGAGGAACTGTTTGGGCTCCAATGGACATACTGTTGTGTTTTTCTAGGGGTCTCAGAATTTTGTTACAGATTATATTTTCATTCATACTTGTAAGTTTAAACAAAATATTTTCCTCAGTTTTCCTGTCGGGGGGAACAGGCATATATTTTCCCCTAAAACGTCAGTGGTGTGTGTAGACATTCCCATGACAGTTAAATTCTTTTGGGATGCATGAAAATGATGAAGCAGATGTTTTCCATCAATTCATCATGTTCATTGGCAGGATTATGATTTTAGAATCATTCCAGACCCACGTAATTGGCCGATGTCTGTTATGTTGATGGGCAACATTTAGAGTTTCTAGAATGGGGTACTCAACTTACTGTGTTAAGTTGGAGTTGAATAGAGATCATAGGTAACACAAACTAACCACAAGGCCTTTATGTTACACTAGCTGTCAGTTAATAGTGAAACTGAAATAACTTTTCCACTTCATGAGGTAGACTGTTTCTGTATAGCCATAAAATGACCATCCTTGATATTACAGAGGCAAGCATTGAGAAGAGAGCTACGTACATTGATCATGTTGCGTCAAAACCTTCAATGCCATCTAGCCCATTTGAACCTGTGAAGATAACCACTGGCTTCTTCCCTGTACTCAACAAGGACGTTCTCAACACAGAGCCTGTCAGCAATAAGTGAGCACCTCCGTCATTCATATTGTTAGTGCAGTACAGCTGAGAGGTGTACAAAAGGATTGTATTGTCGATAGTGGTTCTGATTGGTTGGGTAATAACTGTTTGGCTGATATGGTAGACAGGATACTGAATCTAGCCTGTTCTGGAGTACTCTCTGTTCCTGTTGGTTTGCAAGATGCTTTGGTTGACATGCCAAGACAATAAAAATACTGCACAACATGCCCAATCTAACTTCTTACTTTCTGTGATAGATCCAAGGTGCGAGATACTGCTAAGTGGCGGAGGAAGGATCGGATTCTGCAACATGCAGAGCACCTGCAACTCAACTCAGATCAGAGAGAGGTAAGACCAGTTATCCGTCTTTAGTCTGCTTCAGAAGTCAAAGTTGTTTCATGATATTTTCATTATATTCATAATGTTGAATATGAACCATGGAAAAATGTGCTTTTCTTTAAAAAAATACCTATAGGGTTTTTTTTAATTTTGTCAAATGTGTCGTTGTCAATTGTCTTGTGAGTGTGAGTCAAAAACAGTCAACCTTGCATATGATAAAGACAAATCATTCAGATATATCAAAATGTCATCCCAAGTGGTGCTTACTGTTACATATGCATTGTAAATTTGGATGTAGTGGACTAATGCTAAAGTCTGCTTGGATCTTGTTATTCTCTGAGTTGACTGTTGTGGCTTGTACTTGCTGCAGGATATTGTAAGCATCTTGATGTGCATGGCATGTCTCCACTTGATTGCCCAACCAGCGGGATCTCACTCAAACATGCATGATTAGGCAATGTTGACAACATCAATTATTCTGATGGTAGAAATAACAATGTAGATGACATCAGTTATTCTGATAAACTACTTGTGTGTGAACTAATGACAAACAGTAAAAACGATATCAGATGTTATTTGACATAGAATTAGGAATTGTTGATGTTTGTTACACCTGCAGATTTTGCAATGTCTTAATTTTGGTTTTCTTTTTTTTCTTTCCTCTAGAACGACCAAGTAATTAGTTGATGCCTTGTTTGTTGAGTTTGTTTTGTTTGATGTATTTATGTTGTATTATGTACATACAGAAAGTTTGTAATATCTGAGTGGACTCAAGTTTGTCAAATGGATTCCTCATCTGTTGGTTGCTTTGGTTTGAGGAATAACCATCTTAAATCATTTGTATTTTCTGATTAAAGTGACTGGTTAATCAATTATCAGTTTTCAAGAGTTCCCAATCGTCATTTTAATCTGACAAATACTCCTGACCATTTTGTCAACATGGCTATGATTTGAGCTTGTAATTTTCTCAGTCTTTAGAAACTTAACACAAAATTTCTCTTGCTCATGAGTAAATTGCTTGGACAGTTTGTGTCTCTTTTGAATCAATGTCAAAACAGACAATGGTAGGGTATGGTCTGAGGTATTCGTTATGATATAATGGCTGTATGTTACACTGGATAACCAAGATGCTAGTGCCACTTTTCCTCCATTAAATGTGGGACCTCAAACAATATGCCAGGTCTCGATTAATAGAGGAAATACAGAAAATCCTATCCCGTTAACACCTTGAATTCAGATAGTACAAACTTATGTTTGTAATAGCATCTTACATTTGACTGAAACTAGCAACTTTGAATTTTGTTTCTAAAGTTTGCCTTGGCTGAAAAACATGCCAAACAGTGGCTAGTGAGTACATCAAGGCTGTCTGTCTGTCCACGTGTCTGACTGTCTGTCTGTTTTCCTGTCTGTGTGGTCAGACAGTAGACATGCTTCAGCTTATGCCAAGAGAGTACATTCATTCAGGGGACAAGAAATTTGTAGAGCAAGTAACCATTAAATAACAGGAACATTAACTAAAGATACCTTGGATATCACAGGGACAAGATTCTGTAAATGTTCAAGAAGAAAACAGACAAAAAGATTTACAAACATTTGTTTCCATTTTCTTTATAAAAATGTTTCATGTAACTTGTTTGGGTGTTCCAATTCATAGACCAGGAAAGAAAGTTGCATGTCCCCTGAATGATGTTGCTACAGATGACATATGCCAAGTTGCCACTTTGTGTGCACCTTTCTGTTCTGTCTCACCACTTACACAGCTAACAATACTAACCCATGTTATCATCTATTCCAGTGCAGCTGAGTTAGGCTGTCTCACTAACTCATACATGTGCCCAGTGTAACCTTCATTCTAGCTATTTGCCTACTGATATAGGTTTTGTTTCAAAAGTTCTCGTAGGAGGTATACCTGGCCACTCTATAGCTTGTGTGACTAGCACATGCAAGCAGTAAATGATAAGGGTTGAGAGGCTTTGAGAAATGGGGGTAGGGGAGAAGTTGTTTTAGGGATGATTCTAGACCTGTTCAGTGGATGATATTTGGCCTAAGTTATAGCAAATGTCAGTAAAAATGACCAAACAGGAACTAAAAGTATCCTAATTGATGGTATTAAGTTAAGTGGTATAACGTGTAAGTTATGGTTTCATGGATGTGATATATTTCACAAAGGGGTGCCAAATGTGCGAGTTTTGGGATGTACTGTGACGGTTTGAGTGATCAAATTCAGTTGTGAGAGTGTTAAGTTGAGATGTTGAATCGGATCAGGTTGAGAAAATTATCAAGTGGATTATGAATGTTTGGATGTCTCATGCTTAGATAAGAATGTAACAGTGGGTAGATGACAATTAGGAAGGTAGCAGTTATGATCTATCATGTATACCAATAGACCTTATAGTTTGAGCGATCTGTCTTCTCAGTAAATTAGGGTGTGTGGCACCTCCTTTATGTGGTGACTGCTGTCTATCATTATTTCATCTCTTCACAATTAGCCCTTCTACATTTCTTCACCATCATCATGTCTGTATAAACTCTGAGACAAGGGAGATAAGCAATATGTGTCTTGTATACAAACCACTAATGGTGGTCTCAATCTGTAGTGTTTTAGTGTGTGGTGACAGCTACTCCTGAAGTCAGTGTGTCTTTATTTATATATGACATGGTGGAAGGTACCATATAATGCAATATTAATGCTTCTAACAAGCTAATTTCAGATTAAGAGCACGTTCTCTTAAATTCATTTTAAGTACTTAAAGAGAATTTGATATGAAATTGTAAAATCAAAGAAAGTTAGTAGTAATAAGTGTTGTATTAGCAGTTAATTTCATAGTAATCAGTCATGTTCATACATCCTTTGTTAGATGGAAATCATAAATGTTATTCTATCTCATACCAGCTTGAAACCTTTCTAGATAAATATCTATCTCAGTTGCATTCACATGCCTTTCTTCATCAAGACCTATAACAAAATATCTTGTCTATGCCTGTTTTCGATATGTTGACTTTCTATTTCAGTCCAGTTATGATTTAGTTTGCACACTTTACGTCTATTTTCTTGCATTGGCAGATAATGAGCTTCAGTTTTAACTTTCATTTCTTGTCTTTTTAAATTTTTAAATTAAGTCCACTTCACTTCTATCATTTGGTAAACTATCTTTTGATTTGTTACAAATCTGCTTCTGCAACCATGTAGTGTATAGAAAAGATCCAAACAAGATAAAATCTAAAGTAAGTTTATAAATTGGATGATATGTGTTAATAAGTATGTGCTGTTTATGTCCTGTCTAACTTTGAATTATCTCACCTGTAGCGCTACATCCAGGAAGCCCGTCTAAAGGCCCTGCGTCAACCAAAGCTGTCTGACATGTCAGCCCAGGGAATGGTGCAGACCAACTGGAAGTTTGTGGAGACACTGCTCAAGGAATGTAAGACAAAGGTGAGACACTGGGATATGTATACCAGATGCTGGTATTTCCAGCCTACATTATGCAGGTCATCACAGATAGGTTTCTTATACCAATCAGTTATTAGGCATACAGTCTGAAACCTGGATATAGCAAACAACAAGGAACCGTAGAAGTTTGTTATATAAGATGTTCGTTTGTTTTCTCTCAGAAACATCACCATCTTGATCAAACAGAACACAGTAATTACAGCATTGCATTTTATGGTTATGTTTAAACTTATATTGCAGACAGATTATTCCAATTATAGGGGAGATGAACATAAGGCAAATTTAACAAGGTGGAATCATCATGGCTGATTATGTGGATTTGATGTTGATTGAGTATAGCGTATTGTCAGTGATATTATCTGACACTAGTGTCTCTAAATGTCACTAATTAGTGGTTTGGAACTGGTCAGGGAATAAATATCAATTCGCTGTTTACATTAATTTGCTGTAAATAGTTTGTTGTGTATATACATTTTACATGATATGTAGGAGATAAATTGGGGTTTTACCTGAGACCTCATCTCTGTTTTGCTAGACAAAGAAGATGCTGGTAGAAAAGATGGGTCAGGAAGCTGTAGAGTTGGGACATGGAGAGTTGAGCATCACAGGGGTGGAGGAGAACACTTTGATAGCCAGTCTGTGTGATCTCCTGGAGAGGATCTGGAGTCATGGCCTGCAGACGAAAAAGGTGAGTGATTACGCCAATAAGTTCAACATCTGTATCATTTCCTGGTTTGCTGCAGAAGGTGGTGTCCAATTATTTGAGTATCTCTGATAGCCAGTCTGTATAACATCCCATAGGGAATCTGGAGTCTTGGTGTGCAGATGAAGAAGGTGAGTGACATACTTCTGTCATTTGTGTATCTTTGATAACCAGTCTGTATGATCCCCTAGAGGGGCCATGGACAATCAGCAGATGAAGAAAGTGAGTAACTTAATGACTTCAGTATCTTCCATTACCTGGTGAGTCACTTGCACCTAGAGTTGAGCAACATTAAACTATGTCATGTTGCAGGGGAAGTCTGCGCTGTGGTCCCACCTTCTGAGTTTCCAGGAGATTGAGGAGAGCAACGACACAAACCGAGCCATCGATCCAAAGCTGTTGACACCAGGTGAGTACCCATGATTTAACCATAACAACAGATGGCCCGGGACAATCTGCACTGTCACCTGACACATCACTGAGTTAAAATCCCAAAAGTGGCCATAGCAATGCCATCATGTGCTGAAGGTCAGAAACTTGAATATTTGTTACGATTTTGTCCTTTCAGGGATTGGGATGGAGACCTTTGACAATGGGCCATTTTCAGGATTATTAGCCATTTTCTAAATTTAGAATGGGCCATTGCCCTTGTATCAATAGTAAATTTCAAAATTTTATTGGGCCATTTTTTATTCTAATGTGCAAAATGGCCCATGGCCCCTGCCTTTCCCATCCCTGCCTTTTAGGATGTTGAAAATGTGGTAGGTGCCAAAATATGCACACAAATCAAGCCCTTGTTTGAGTACATACAAACAGAAGGACAAGTTGCATTCTGAAACGTGAACTGTTGTTCCCTGAGGATTAATACATCGAAATCTTGCAGAGTCAACTTACCTTGTATAGTCGACGTATTGATTTTGCCAGCATTTGTGTACAATATTAATATGTATTCAATATCTGTATACTGGCCGTTTTAAATGGATTGAAGAAAAGATGCTTTCTGAATGAAATGGATGGTAATATTGTCCAGTTGTCTGCAAGTCATATTGTACTGCATACATTGTGTATATCTGAATATATTCAGTGTTTGTGAATGTTAAATAACTTACTTATCACCCCATTTTATAATGCCTGTGTATGATATTGGCTATGAGTCGTATCAGATGTTGCAGCGGTTGCTCCGTATTACCAGTATATAATCTGTTGTGGTCAATAAGTGCTATTGTGTATACATCCTGATTGTCACAGTGACTGCTCAGCTACAGATTGGTAACTCCTTGTTTCAACCTCACTAATATCTCTCTCCCAAAAAGGTCCCTTGAAAAGACATAGCCTGATAGACATTAGCTCTCTCTTGGATGGGTCCATCAAAATTTTGGGCCGGTCCATATCCTGGAGCAGTGAGTATCTACTGGTGTATAACCCTCCACCCCTTGGCTAGTGCATGGGGTGACTCCTATATACCACTGCAGTGCAGCACTGTGGGCTGGACCACACACACACAGAGGGGTGGAGGCAGGGGCTAGTTTGGTACATGGACAGGTTGGTAAGAAATAGCTAGTGTAAATGCAAAATATGGAACATGCAAGTCTGGAGATTTCATTAAAGATACCACTAAACATCTTGGTACTATATTCCAGTACTTTCTGCTGTGCTTGTTGAGTGCCCATGTTGTATAAGGCTGTCCTCAGCCTTCTCCATACCTGTCCTTCCATCCTGGCCCCTGTCTGTCTGTCTGTCTATGTTTGTGTGATGTTCCAGATATAACAGTCTTCTAAGTGCTGGTCAGTTTATTGGTCAGTCTTGTCCTTGCCTTCACTGTACTAACATCATCATCATTTTCATCATCCTCATCATCATTACTGTGACAGTCATAAGAAAGAGGGGCGGTGGGGTAGCCTAGTGGTTAAAGCGTTCGCTCGTCATGCCAAGGCCCGGGTTCGATTCCCCACATGGGTACAACTTGTGAAGCCCATTTCTGGTGTCCCCCGCCGTGATATTGCTGGAATATTGCTAAAAACGGTGCAAAACCATACTCAGCCAGTCAACATTAAAAAGACTAAGCCTGTAAGCAGTTGGAAAATCATTATGGATAGGAATTATGAAAGACATAAGAAAAAGGGTCTCTTTATGGAAGAATAGATTTCTTCTCTGAAAGGATTTTCTTAATGTTAAGTAAAAACCGGATGTGGTATAAGATGGGTATTGTCTAACCATGGAAAAGTCAGTAAAGCAGACACATAAGTTGAAAAGTGACATATGTCAGCATTTTACATATACTGTGTATCTGTATATAAAAATATGCTCACAAAAATAGCCATAACCTAATTAATTTCAAGCTGCTTGAGCACAGATATGCATGCATTAGTTACTTTATCAGTTCATATATATCCGATTTGTATAAACTGACTGAAGTCAGCCATTTGTGGCTTCTAGTCCACTGCAGTGAATAATACAATAAAGTCCTAATTGTAACTGAGCCATGTATTGCTTATGTTGCACATAATGGCAGCCAATAACAGAAATATATATGTATAATGTGTATTCATTATTAATAATCCCGGGGCGGTGGGGTAGCCTAATGGTTAAAGCGTTAACTCGTCATGCCGAAGATCCGGGTTCGAATCCCCACATGGGTACAATGTGTGAAGCCCATTTCTGGTGTCCCCAGCCGCGATGTTACTGGAATATTGCTAAAAGCGGCGTAAAACCAAACTCAGTCAGTCAGTTATTAATAATCCCAATTAGGTGGACCCCAACTAGATAAAATGTACTGAGAACTTCAAGAGAAATACAAATACCAAATAGGAATCATTACAAATGGCGTGACTTATAAATCATGTGGAACATTGTCAAAATCAAAGTGTTTTGTGTATATGTGCAATAACACAATATGATCTAAGGGAACATCTGATCCACAGTAAACTGTTGAATAGGATTACAAATAGATCAACATCCTTGGTTACATTCATGAGTAAATAGTAAATTTGGTATGTTCAAACCCGTATCTTACATTAAATGAAGTGTACCACAGAAATAACACTCTCATTTCTCAATATATACACTGAACAAATAGGATCATGAATATTTTGTGGAGATTGTGAAGCCTGAGCACACAATTTAATAAATCCATTCCCACAAATATTTATGATCCCAACATGTTTCTGTTCAGTATATATCTGTCTGCTGTACTGTAACCAGCATCAAGTGTTCTGTGATGTAACTGACTATCCAATATCATTGTGTGTGCCTCTGCCTCTCTCAGCCGGATCGATGAGAAGCTTGCTAGCAACAGCATCTGTCACCCTACTGTAGAGAATTGTTTGAAATGTTCACCAGTTCCAGAATAGTAAAATAGGATTTGTTTTTATGATCATTCAACTCTCACTTCATTCAGACAGTTGATGACAGTACAGTTCTAGAAAGAGTTTTAGACATGTTTAGATTTAGGGCTCACAGCTGGCAACCAAGGATAGTTCTTACAGTTTAGTTTCATAGTTCTTGAATTGGAAGAGATTTGAAATTTTGATGATAGATACTAACTTTCCTGTGTATTTGTTACTAAGTTTGATGATCGTTGTCTTTAGCCATGCATCTACTGTTGCCCTTAACAAAGTGTTTTATACTATTTTCTACAATAACATCAGTCTAACAAATAACGTCAATGTCATTGACTAGTGTTTGAAGTATATTGGAGGATGTGTAGCTGTAAGCTTGTACATTTATCTTAGTGAGAAACAGTTTTATGTATCAGACCTAGGACAGCCATGTTGGTTCAGAATTCACCACACTTTGACGTGTTCGATAGGAGGCATGTATGGTATAAGAGTCCCCATTCTTATAGAACACCACAATTCTCTTATGCGGGGCCTAGATTTAGCGCTAAGATATTCGTTAGTGCCATACATTAACAGTAACTTATGACTATCTTAGCTCTAAGAGAGCTTCGAAAATCTAGGCCCTGGGTTCCAGACCAATATTAGCCCTGATTAGTTTTCTAGGTTTGTCAGCACCATCTCATGCTGTCTTGGTGCGCCTGAAGTAGTACGAGACCTGCATCACTTCAGGATTTCCTCCCATCTGACACCTGTCATATTACTGAAATAGTGTTCAAAGCATCATTGAACACAACTCATCTCTCACTAATAGCCATTATAACTTCAATGGATTACAACTTCTTGTTCAATGAGGGTATGGTCATGAGGTCCCAGATATCATGAAAATCTAACAAGGTTGACAGGGCGATATTCTAATGATTTGGTGACAGCAGTTAGGCATGGTTCCCTCTCCCTTCCACTAACATGACTCCCGTGGTGGAGGTATGTAACATACCTGGCCTGTCTGATCAAGATTGTCATCCGTGCTGGTGGAAGGCTGTGTCTCTGTATGTCCAATGAAGTCTCCGGATTGTAATTATCTCTGGTACAACATGCTGAAGTATACTGGAACCAGTCTCATCTCTTTTTGTTATGTTGGAGCAGATAATGATGAAACCAAGATGCTATGGATCATAGTTCACTCTCATGATCCCATTTTTTAGAAAATATGTAATGCAATAAAAGTCATAAGTTTCTGTCTGGTCCATTAAACAATGCTCACATCATTCTTAGAACTTCATCCAGCAGTCAGACAGTCTGTAAGTTGTGGCCTTGAGAAAGGCAACAGTTGATAGGGGTTATACATCTGTTCATGTGGTTCATCGGAATGGTAAGACAGACAGTGTAAACAGTTTTTGAAGCAGATGGATATATAATAAATTGAAGGTGGATATATGCATGAAATGGATGAAAGAAGTCGTATGGCTAAAACTCACGAAATCAGCAATTCCATTAAAATGAAAATTATTTTCATTTGGATTTTCCATGTTGAGTATAAGTTGCAGTCTGAAATTACATTACCATGCATGTGGATGTAATAGAACCAGGTGGGACTCATATCCCTGTAGAAAGGGTGAGTTGATTGTTACCACTATATAAATACCTGACTCCTCAAGTGCTGGCAAGGGAGGCCAGGAAGTAGGGTACTCTAGGGAGCGGGACATCCTGTGTTGACACTCACATATGAATGATGGTTTGTTATTTCACGCTGCTCAGCCATCGCATGGTGCATTCTACAAAAGAGATATCAACGTAAGCCTGATGTGTGTGTTTGTCCATCACAGTGTAGCCATCACCCACCTTCAGCAGCAGTCTGTGCAGATCTGCAGAGTCAGCAGTTCTGTTCTTCTGTGACACCCTTAGCTAGCTAGCAACCACCCAGTTCCACAAAGCAATCTTTAGGCTAAAAGTATAGTAATGTCTTCTCTCCTCAATGTGTTATTACAACAGTAACTTGTTCAGTTTGTGCGGGACAGTTGTAAGTTTAGATTGCTTTGTGGAAGAGGTCAGTAGTTCCATTGGTCATGAGAAGACCACTTTGTGGACCGAGACCCATACCTGAGTTGTATCACATTTTACTATGCCAGTTACAGTTTGTCTCAGCTTAGCCAAGCAGCTCAGATCACCTGATGTATTCAGTTGTACGTTGACTTTAATTCAGTTTGTTTGCATGTTGAGATTATTGCAGGCAGCATTTGATGACAAACGAAACCACCATTCTGTTAGCTTGTCACTCTAGATGTTGATTCAGTGTTACCTTAGTTGTTTTCTTCAGCATGATGTATGTCAGTCATGTCCTTTGAAACTCATCATCAGAAACTGTATTAGTGTCTGATCTTTGAACTTTGATACAAAGATTGCCACATGTTAAGTATATCTTTAAAGAAAGAATATAAGTAAGAAAGACAACACTTAAAAGAAATGATGAATTCTCTTCTTGAAAGACAATATTTCCATATGATTTAATTCTGTAAGTGGTTTGATAATTATAATGATAATTCATAAATTTAACATGAAAATTTAGGTTTTGCATAAAACGTGTACTGTTATGTGAAGCTACAACACCCTACACTGCACATCCCCTACCATACCCTACATATCCCTGTGTCTGTAGACTTGTCAGCCATGGCCTTGGATGGAGAGAAGACACACCCTGTAAAGACACATCGACGTCGCAGCAGCCAGGGACGGATTGAGCTGCCTGTCCTCCGACCTTTGGCGAAATCACTTGCACATGATATGAGGTCAGTACAAAACAGAAACTTAGTTACTGGCACAAAATATTGTATGTAATAAATACAATGTAATTAATAATCAAATTGTGTTGTAAATTTCAATTAGGCAAATTAACATTTCAAAATAAACTATATATTTATGAAACTCACTATAACCCAGCTGTTCATGTTTGTTTAATTGTTTGTTGTTTTACGCCACCCACAGCAATATTCCAGCTATATGGGGGCAGTCTTTAAATAATTGAGTCTGGACCCGACAATCCAGTGATCAACATCATGAGCATCCACATACACAATTGGGATATGGTGACATGTGGCAACAAATTCAGCAAGCCTAATTACCCTATCATGTTAGTCACCTCTTACGACAAGTGGGAACAGTTCTAACCCACGGGTTGGTTCATGTGAAACTAAATATCTGTGTTGTTTGTGGCAGGAGAGTGCAGCAGATGACAGAGATCAAGACACATGTGGGATGTGCCCGAGCCTTTGTCAGACTTGCCCTGGAGAAGAAGATGTTGTCAACACACCTCAAGGAGCTCCTTCAGGACACAGACCTACTCAGGTTGGTTGGACACTGATCTGATAGCTACCATTGGAATCCAATGTTGTCCAGTTTGGAATAGATTCCTGTAGCTGTTTATGTAAACTGAGATATTGATCCAGAATTGTAAGATATTGTACTGGTACTGATTGCATCATTTTGAAACTTTTTCCAGTATTCTATATTCATCCAATTGTGGACACATTCTTCGAGTATTGTGAGATGGCTATTGTGAGCTAGCGGCACTTTTAAAAAACTATTCCAGTGTAGTGAAATATTGTCCATCTATTGCAAGATGTTGTTGGATATTGTGGCAGTATAAGGAGACATTGTTCATGTTGTTCCAGTCTTAGAGCCCATTATATATGTCTTACAGGAGCCTTTACAAGCGCTATGCCTTCCTGCGATGTGAAGATGAGAGAGAGCAGTTTCTGTACCACTTACTGTCACTCAATGCGGTTGACTTCTTCTGCTTCACCAATACATTCTCACAGACAGGTCAGTAGATAATCTCACATTCTTATATATAGATCCTAAGTGTGTCTGGTTTGTCTGGTCCAGACTCGATATTATTTACAGACCGCCGCCGCCATATAGCTGGAATATTGCTGAGTGCGGCGTAAAACTAAACTCACTCAGTGACATGTCAGTAGACAATGCCACTTTTAACAGACACATTTCTAGAAGATCCCTGATGACTGTTGGTTTTCTTCCTAGTTGTGCCATACCGAGTCCTCATCTACCCCAGCACCAAGTTTGCATGTGGGACAACAAGTGCTGTACCCTGGATCAGCATCGCGGGGCAACTGGGCGAGACTGGAGTCATGGACATACCGAAAGGATGTCTGGAGTTCTCAGTGGAAGTAGGTGTCTCTCTATGTCAGCTATAACTGCTTGATAAAGGCATATGTGCGGTCATGGTCCCCGTTGCACAAAGCTCTCGTAAGCCTATGATTTTGTAACTTATCTCATAGCATTCTTACCTTCTATACTGTAACATTGACTAATGATGGTCATAGCGCTACAAGAGCTTTGTGAAATGGGGCCATGGTCTGTTTTTATCTTTTTGTATGCATCCCATTGTTATTTAAGTGTGACTACTTATGTAAAAGCTATCTTGTATATATTATGAAATTTTAGATGTTTTATTGTAGTGTTCATGTCTTTTCATCCGTTCCAGCACAAGAACCTGGGTGTTCTGACAACTCTACGTATCGGCCATGATAACAGTGGCATGACTCCACGCTGGTTGGTGGAGTATGTGCTTGTTAGGAATGAGATCTCAGGACACACGTACAGGTGGGTTGAAGATACTATACTAATACTGCTTGTCACTGCACTGGTTCATGTTTAGCGGGTACATCTATATTTGGAAGACATGGGCGGCACACTGTTCCTGATGTGTACCATTTATGATCTGATGACAGAAAGTGACAGCACCAGACTTGTGGTAGTTGCCTACTGACTAGTGTACTTTACAGGACTCTGAGTTTAAGATAAAAATCGAAGATATAAAAGTAAGGTTGGCCAGTAACCCAAAACAGTGTTGTTTCAAAGTATTTTGTGGGTATACTGGTGTACAGAAACTACCATCTGCCACTTAATATTTCACAGTTCATTGCCTGTATAATGTTATATATAAACTGGTAGAAATAGGGAGTGGGGTTGAGGGTAGCTTTTATTAAGGCATTTCAGTTTGGTAGTGATTTCTAGGATCAAACCGAGAGATCTGGCAATACCCAGCAATCTGTAATGTTTCTGACTTTCTTTCAGTGATACTACAACTTTTCCTTTTGCAGACTCACAGATGTACTGTTAAATATTTCACCTGGATGTTGTGTTGCAGATTCCAGTGTGGGCGATGGTTGGGGAAAGGTGTGGATGATGGCAGCATAGAACGCCTCCTGGTGGCAGAACTTGTACATCAGACGTCAGAGGTTGATGGTGAGCTCTACATTCAATGGCAAAATGATCAGCAAGTGCTTACTTACTTTGCGATTGGTCATGAATGAATGTTGGAAAGGGTCTGTTGTCATCAGTGGGATGTATTATTGCTTATATCACCTATACTTGTTGCAGACACAGTGACATGCTACACACCACCAAGGAACAGGTCCCCTAGTTCTCCCAGGAAGAACTGTGATCAGGGTAGGTTTAGAGTCTTACATTAAACTATAATGATGAAGTGTTCACTTTAGGCATATTTAAAATAGAACAAGATTTATACTTAATTCTTACTACATGTTCATCTAACACTTGATTGCCTTATATTCTGAAACTTGTTTCTGATCAACAGGTTTAACTTGATTAATTTTTTCAAGACAGTTGTTTTGCATTCTTCCTAGTGGTCTTCCCAAGCGTCATCCAGTGGACTTTTCAAATTAAGATTAGGCTCGTCTTGAATTGATAAGACATACAGAATCAATAACTGATAGTGATTCGTTGAAAGTGTCTGGAATTGAATCAACCAGTAAGCCATTTTCATTCCAATTTAACATCCCCTTTGTGCCCCATTGCTACAGGTCTGTCCATCCCAGAGCTGCAGGAGAATCTAGGGCATGCAGTAAATAACCTGGTCAAGTACTTCTACAAGCCAGAGAAGGAGGTAAGGGTACATGTTGAACTGTCATCTCTGTCCTTTCCCAGTCTAGCTTACTTGGATAGTTATCTCCCCTTGAGCAGAACTGGCACAGAATATATACTGAACAACATTAGAAACACACCACACTAAATTGCACCGACAATGCTCAGATATCATGGGTACATTTCAGTCTGACGGGGGTACTTTTGTATTATATGGGTGGTGTGTTTCAAATGTTGTTCAGTATATATTATCCATACTTCAAACTAAAGCTTGCATGTGTGTTCTTTAACACCATGTTTAGCCAATGCTATATAATGGTGGTATATAAATAACCTTGTCTGAACCAAACAATCAAGTGATTAATATGAACAACAATCTCACTGTGACAAATCTATTCAGTTGCCTCTTACAACAAACATGGCTTACCATAGACCAATTGTAACCCAGTTTCTATCTTGGCATAGGTTGAACACATTCAGTGTGAAAAGCATTCATTTATTTATCCTCTCTAATCTGCTTCATCTGTGGTCAGTGTAGGCCATATTGTACCTACAACACTCTGTTGATGTACTTGACTGTCATAGTTACAGGGTTTACTGATGCCTTCATTATTTACAGAGGGGCAACTTGACCTTCCTGTTGTGTGGAGACCGGGGTCTAGTCCAATGCATGGAGCAGATTTTCCAGTGTGGTTTCCGCTCATCAAGATTGTTCCGTAACAAGATGTTCATATGGGATCTCTTTGGTGAGCTGATATTAAGATAATAACTCACTCACTCACTCACTCTTATATCTGGTATTATGTTTGATCTTTATCAAGTTATATCTCATTAGCATATGAAGTTCTTTGAAAAATAATCAGAGTTTGGAATAGACAGATGGCCTGTTTATCCTGCCCATCATAACTATAGCCTATACTAGCAAGCTATAATTACCTTGAGCTGTTGGTTATTGGATGTGGTTTCCACTAATGGGGATTGTTTAACAATAATGTCCCTGTGTTACAGAGAAGATTAAGGTGCAGTTTGAGCATGCACTCGCTGGTGGAGTGCGACGGCCGATAGCGGAGGTGGCAAAGGCAGGGTACTGGCTCTTCTGTAATCTGCTCAACAAGATCAATGCAGCCACGGAGACTATCGGCAAGGACGGGAAGTTCCAGATCTTCATCTGTGTGGGCATTAGGTAGGTTGAGTGCTGGGTAGAAGGGATTGATTTTAAGTAGTCAAAATTAGAAAGTAGGGATATTGTTTCTTTGCCTTCATTCTTTCCCTTCCTGCCCATTTCTGGTGTCCCCCGCCATGATGTTGCTGGATTATTGCTAAAAGCGGCGTAAAACCAAACTCAGTCAGTCAGTCTTTCCCTTCCTTGTATGAAGATACATATGCTATACGCAAGCAGAAGACAAAGAATGTGGCTGTCTGATACAAATTGATTTCACAATCAAGTATCCGTTCATACATTTGAATGTGATACAGTGCAGATACTCCCAAGGACAAGTCCGTAAGAAGGGTGTTTCAACATGTGACACATTCATTCCTCTTTGCAATGAGATTTGTTCTATGTTTACACTCAGTTCACTTTTAATACTAACATTCCAACACAACTGATTATAACTCCCAAGTGTCACTATCACTAATGATTACATAGATTGCTGTAACAGTAACAAGCAGTAGGATCTGTCTGGTTATAATGAGGCTCTCAGTACAAAGATAATAACAATGTTGTCCAACCCTCTCTAACCTTGTGTGCATATCTGTTGCAGAGATCACTGTCTTCACCGCTGGCTCCCTCTCATGGCCCAGACAACCATGGTAGCACAGATGTACGAGGAGAACTGCTTCATGCGTGACCCCAGCCTCATCAACTTTCTCGTCCACATCCTGGACACTCTCAGCGAGTTCCCTATTGTGTTGGAGGCCTCGTTGCTGAGGGGCCTGGACATCTGAGGACGGTCCTTGTACCATGTTGTTATGACGACAGATGATGCAGAAAAGCTGAGCCATATTATCGGGAGTTTGTTGGTTTGGGCTGTGATATGTTGATGTCTGTGAACGTATGTTGGCGTGGACACAATGATGTGAGAAATCATGAATATGAAATGGAGTGACTGCCCCAGTGACTGTAGTTCCTTGTGAGTCTCTTGATGAGTGTCAGGACTATTATCCAAGGGCACCTGTCAACACTGATCTAGTCTTGTACCTGCCACACATCCATTGTGTACAAGGGGCTTCAGGTGTCTACTCCAAGTCATCAATATTACTGTGTTGTTTTTGTGCCAAAGAATAGCGATCTTCACTTTACTATTTATTTGTGACTTGTGCAATTATAGAATAAGATCCCCTACAAGGGTAGAGGTAGGCAACAACATCCAAGAGATGTCACCAGCTAGCATGAGGTCACTAGCAACAGTCTAATAGGCTAGACTATCAAGACCTCAAGACCTTCTGTATGGTCATGTAGCACATGATATTTGTACATGACATATCCTGTTTTATGAGTGCAGACATTACCGGTATGTCACCCAAAGACTGAGCATGATCTCATGCTAATAATACTATGATAGTGCACATAGTATGAGGTAAAGGGACTCTGATAGCAGGTCATGCTGTATATTTAACCTGGAGGGTTGACTTGAACGTTTTAAAGTCACTTTATTGACTTCTGTGAATAACAAATTAAGGTATGTTAAAACAGAAAATGTTATTATGAACTTATCAAACTTGTGGTCAAGGGTTGTCTATAAATGCTCAAGATTGAAACTTGCACGTTAGAAATTAATCCTATAAAGTATCTATTTTCTGTGAATTTTACTCTGATTAGTGTAAGTTGATTTGGCTTAATTTCAAACAGATGAAGTGCCTTGATTGTTTGCTAATGGTTGATGGTCGTTTGTTTTGTATGAAGGTGATCTTACACTAGTGATGGCCATGATACTACCACAGGCACTGGATGCCAGTGGTTACCATGGTCACTAGAACAGGACGTCCTTGTGTCTTGGGTTTTAACCTTGATCTCACTGATGCAGACATGTTTTATTCCACAAATCGTTGTTGATACATCCCATGTGTATATGTTGTACAGATGAGAGTTTTAGAGAGAGCCATGTGATATGAGGTCAACACTTCTTATGTGTATACAATTTCTTAATATTGAAAGATTTTATTGCCTATATTGAATTGTTATTAAGGCAGACTCAATGAAAGTGTATTGCTGTCTTTTATGTAAACTATAATCAAGTTCTCCTGCAGTCCTAAACTCTTCCACATTCTGAAGATCCTAACCCTCCCCATCCTGGGTATATTTATACCCTTCCAGCTAATCCCCTCCCTCTCCTCTCCTTTTCCACCACTGACCAGCCCCACCCAGGGTTTATGCCCGTCTTGTTACTGTCCCTCCCCACATGGGTATGTGAACTTTCAACTGTTCCGTTAATCCAGGGTGGTTGCCCCTCCCACTAATCCGCATCCCCCTCCGTTTCCACCACTCACCAGCCCCACCCAGGGTTTATGCCCGTCTTAATACTGTCCCTCCCCACATGGGTATGTGACATTTTAACTGTCCCCATTAATCCAGAGTAGATCCCCTTCCAGCTAATCCACACCCCCATTACCCTCCATATCCACCACTGTCCAGCCCCACCTAGGGTAGATGCCCATCTCACTACATTCACCTCCCTCAACTTTCCGAAACTGTTCCTCCCCATGCTAAGTAGATGAACTTCTCACTTCATTTACTCAAACATTTAGTGCACAATCTTATACTGACTGTGCATCAAGCCGAGCCCTCTCTCAAGACATTGTTACATTTTGTTGATATTTGTTTATACATTGTATACTATTAGTGCTGTGCAGTCTTGTCACTACTTAAAATAGCTGTTTCAGCAACTTCAAGTGTCTTCAAAAAACAACCATGTCATGAAGTCACTGAGTTGAAACGATCATCACTATCACCAGTAGATGCAGATAGGGTCTATATTCAGTGTTGGTGATGTTCTGACTAATGTAGGGTTCAAAATGCCGGGTTCTACCAAACTGTATATCGCTGTTACAAACTATATTAATCTGTACTATAACTTTCCAAGGTACCTAACTTTGGATAGCTGTATCTAAGCTTTAACAGTTTCTGCCATTATGTATAGATCTGTACCTACATGTAGTCAAGAACTAGCTATCAAGAGGCCATTTAAGAAGATTTTTTTCAGTGCTACCGAACACTTAGACAAACCTTGCAATTTTAGGAATTTCCCTTTAGGCAGCTCTATCATTATGTGAAGAAAGCTGAGACTTGATTGGTTAGTTTAGTAATCCCTAACTGACATATCAGCTATATTGGTGTATTGATGTTATTCCCATTGCCTTACTAGCTACTTGTTCTCCTCTGTTGATCTGATTGTTGCAATGTTACCATGGTCATCGAGGGCTGCCTGGTATCAATGAGATTACCAATGTTTGTGTTATGAAAATCAAACATGTATCTACACCATGACTTTGTTATACGTTTCTACAGATTTGATTACATCTTTGATTAGTTTATGCATGTTTATATGATCAGCAGCTTTGTATGTAGCTGGAAAGATATGACAGTAACATTAATGAACAGTAATATATCAGCGTAGTTCATGAGGACATATAGCGTTCGGCATAGTTCATGACAAAGATATTGCAACCAGCCTAGTTACTGATGAAGATATTGCATTAGGCCTAGTTCATATAAAGATATTGCAATCACCCTAGTTCATGATAAAGTTATTGTAATCGCCCAAGTTCATGATAAAGATATTGTGATCACACTAGTTCGTGATAAAGATTTTACGATTACCCTAGTTCGTGATACAGATATTGCAATTACACTAGTTCGTGATACAGATATTGCAATCACACAAGTTCATTGTAAGGATGTTGCAGATGGGGTTGTCATGGCTGAAAGAGTTATACCTGCATTTTTCATCATGTTCATTGAGCCATATTCTGAAGGTATGAGTTTGTTCAGGGTACCAGTTTTTCACATTACACTAGATTAGACAAAACACAGGTAGATATAAACTTGACATAAGTAAACAGGTCAGGTACCTATATTCAAGTTCATCTAGAGCATGTCAAAGACAAAATGGCAACCAGCACATATTAAGACTCCACGTAAGCCCCGTCCAAAGAAGAATTGCACACATCAAGTATTTCTACAGACATTCGTTCATAAGTATAGGTTAGTCATTGTCTGGTTTTAGTTTGTACTAGCTGTGGCGAATGTGTCTGTGCTGCTCGATATAAATGATTTTGATGTTGTCATGTTACTTCATGACACCTGGGTGGTGGGATAGCCTAATGGTTAAAGCTTTCGCTTGTCATGCTGATGACCGGGTTCGATTTCCCACATGGGTACAATGTGTGAAGCCAATTTCTGGTGTCCCTGCAGTGATATTGCTGAAATATTGCTAAAACCATGGGAAAACTAAACTCACCCACTCACTCATGACATCTGTAAATCGTTGAAAAAGTGGCACAGAGACATGGCTACCACAGCTGAGTTAATGCATGATATTAGGGGTGTTTCTGTTGTTTTAGTTGGATGTTTTTATCTCATGTTCTGCATCATGCTGCAATTGTCATGTCACTGTCTGCCAGCTGCACTCTTATTTATTTGTGAGCCGAGATGTTACGTGAGTTGTCTCCCATGTACATACCATACCCAGCGCTGACTATAGATCAGCTCAGACCACACTCACATGCTTGTCTCAGCCTGTGCCTCCATTTTCTAAGTTTACAGTGGTGAAAGCTCATTGCATTTATGTTACGATAAATATCATTTGTGATGTCATTATTCCCTTGATTCCGTGTAAGTTGGTTGCCTGGGTGTCACAGATGCAGCTTCTGTGATGTGTGACATGGAGGCTGTCAGCGGATGTTACTGTGCGATGTTGCAGCTCTCTCACACACATACAGGCTCGCGCATGTGAGCTGACTGTATTATGTAGAGATGGCTGGAGAATGAGTGTGTGAGATCGGGAGTGGGTGTGTGATATGACAGTATTACAGTGATAGTGCTGTCACTACTTGTTGAATAAACACTGTTGACATGGTAATTCTTGACCTTGTTGTATGTTACAGTTGGAGTGGAAGGTTATACCTATCTACGACACAATCTGTCTGGCTTGAACTGTGTCATGACCTCCATACTTCACTCATATTATCTATACTGTAAGCCATTAAAAACGCAATTGGTATTTGTTGTCCTGAAACTCACAAACGTTCTATTGAAGACTTTTGCCTGCGATACAGAGGATGTAGGGATAAAAGGCTGTTATTCTGGCCCATTTCGAGTTCGAGTCCCGGAGAGCATTCCTCTCACGTGAACTTTGATACTTAAAACTGAACCTTTGACATTTCTCGTAAACACAACCACATTCATGAAACACGTTGTGCACATGCATTACCTGCACCCAGGCCCTGTAAAAGCACAAGGAATTGTGGAACTCAATCATTTTGAGAAAATGCCTCACTTGACACAAGACGAAAGGAATCAGGTTATTGGTATGGTCAGCCAAGGTGCTTCAGATGTGATGATTGCCAGGCACTTTAATGTGCATCCATCCACTGTAAGTCGACTCAGACAACGTTTTCGGGCTACCGGAAGTGTTGCTGATCGTCCGCGACCTGGTGCACCACCTGTGATAACAGCTCGACAAAACCACAATATCCGAGTTTCACACTTGCGAAATCGGTTCCAAACAGCTGATGATGAGGCAAGGAGGACAATTGGGACAAGTCAACGTCATTTCAGCTCCCAAAAGGTGCAAGGACGCCTTGCTGCCTTCAACATCCGGTGTCGTCACCCGTACCGTGGTCCAACCTTATTGCATCGCCACAGATGAATCCAGGTTTAACTTATCCTTTGCAGATGGACGTCCACAGATTTATCGACGTAAAGGAGAAAGACTTGCGCCAAACTGTGTCCTTGTACATGATCGTTTTGGAGGGCGTGGTGTCATGATCAGACCACAGAACATCAGAGGCTGCAGACCATCCAACAGCTGTTCCTGAGAAATGTAGAAATGTGTGTCTTTCAATGCCCCAAAGACTGCGAGCATGTCTTGCAGCGCACGGTGGACACACACAATATTGACTGCAAGTGACCCCTCCTTTGTTTGATGTCGTTGTTGCGTAACTGATGTTGTTGTTGACTGGACATTTTCAGATGAAATTATTCACAGATGTTCACTTAAAACATATCTGCCAGTTAGGTTTATATATGTTGAAATTGGTGTGAGTAAAGAAAGTATGAATGTCAAATTGCGTTTTTAATGGCTTACAGTATATATACTTCTTTTACTACAGGCAGCGCTATTATTCACCAGTAATATGTGGCAGATGGATTAGATTCAAGAGGACAAGTTTTTCAAGAAACTGTTTCAGATAAAAGGATGAAAATCTGAAATATTGTTTAAAGGTTAAACATTGATAGTGAGTGAGAGAGTTGGGTTTGACACCGCTTTTAGCAAAATTCCAGCAATATCATGGCAGGGGACACCTGGAATGGGCTTCACATGTGCCCATGTGGGGAATCCAACCCGGGCCTTCTGCATGCCGAGCGAATGCTTTAACCACTAGGCTACCCTACTGCCTCTTAAACATTGATAGAGTTAAAGGACCAACACTGAGAGTTAACATTTTACAGAGTTATGATCCTTGCTGTTTTGGGGCATGGTACTCTGTACCCCAATATTTTCTCTGAAACCACCATAGATACATGGATAACATATAGCATACATCATTCAGGGCATACTGTGGTGATGGGGTTTGAAATGGTGATGGAGCTTGAAAACCAGCATCAAGACTTAATAGCTTACAGAGTACTGGTCATTGTTTTATCTTCTGAATTTCCCTGGAAAACTATAGATGACATTTTGAATACCGTAATTCATGAACATATTGCATCACCACATTGATTTAGATTACATAATTGTGGTGATAATGATATTCCGTTTGAAAACTGTCTCTTTCATACATATTTTACAGAGTTATGAGCCTTCTTTATTTCTCATATTTGGATAGGGGTAAAGAGCATTACTCAAAACGTTCATAGATTCATGAAACTTTGGATGCATACAACGGATGAATATGGTAAAGAGGGAAACAAGCAATAATGAGGTGAGGTGAGGTGAAATTGGGTTTTAACGTCGTGCTTGAGAATATTTCGCTCATATGACGACGTGCATGCGTGTGTATGTGTATGTGTGGCTGCTTGTACTAGCCCAGACTAAAGCTGGTTTTATAGTGCTAGCTCACTGAGATACCATGCCGCAGTGAAGCATGAATACCCCACTCAGACACATTATACTGACTCCGAGCCGACCAGTCCTTGTTGTACCCATTAATGCCGAGCGCCAGGCAGGGACCAACAAGTACCATATTTTAACGTCTTTTGGTATGAAGCGGTCGGGGATCGAACCCATGACCTTCCGCTCTCCGGGCGGACGCTCTAACCACTACACCACGGAGGCGATAGCAATAATGAAATCAACATGATGTATAACTGTTTATATCACACAAAACAGACAAGTGAGCAGAAAATGAGCACAAACCAGGGGTTTCCATGACAACTGACATGCTACTATGATGCAGCCTAAGCAATGATACAAGTTATGTAAAAAAGTATAAAATGAGTATATAATAAATCGAGTACTGACAGCATGATATATATTGAACAATTCACACAGTAGTCCATCCAATCAGCACCAGAGAAGGTCAGGTGACTTTGTAAGGTGACCGATACACTATGGAGTATTCAGCACTTATAAGAATTTCTGTTTTAATGCTATCCCAAGGGTTACAGATTACAGCTTTAAACTTTGAACAGTAGTATTCAATTACGACAGCCTTGGGTATACTGTTTAGAGTGAAAGAACTATAAAAAATATCAACATTGTACAATGAATCAAACTTTTACAGTAAAAGATTAACATGAAATGTCCACTAAAAACTGCTTTTCATAAATAAAAGTTGTACTGTGTGTAATGATAGTGCTACATGAATTCCATTAATGAAACAAAAGCAGTACCAGCTTTCCAAACGGTTTCCCTACATACAGACAGACATGCATTCTCATTGAGTTAATACATTTTACTGAGTAAATATGAAAACACCAATTCACAATGTTGTTACTGGCTGAGCAGAAAATATGACTACTGACAAAATGCCCCCAATAATTTCTGATACCTGCCTTTATGTTCCTCCCCTTAAACCTAAAAGTGTTACAAATGACATCCCAACTTTCTTCTTGTAATATTTAGTCCAGACCACTCATTTCTGTTTCAAATGACTAGAGGCTGAAGAAAAACAACAAATAAAGCCATCAGGGTTTTACAAGTTTCAATTCTTTGAAATACCTGCAAAGGCCTTAATAATCATCCTTGGTTTTCAATATGTTGAAGTTGGCGTCTCCTAGAACTATAAAAATGAACATCGAATGTGGCCAAAGAGCGGATGTTGTTTTGAAAACATTGACCAAGTCATGGGCAGGGGTTAGAAACAATATACATTGTGTCCGACCAGGTGACAATGTATCCAACCACACGTTATCTCCAAACATACACTTGTGGACGGAACATGCAGTGAAGCTGACACGGACATGCTGCCTGAGTCACGATGAACGTACCACATATTTAATGCTGAAGAAAAGGTAGTAAATAATCTGCAATATTACAGCCATATCGTGACTGGGTGTGGCACAACACTGTTGAGCACTGTCTGATTTATCCCTGTTGCCTTGGATACATATCGTCCAATATGGCTAATGCCAGCAGTTATTTATGTCTTGAAGCTTGAGATATATTACCTCATGGTGAACATTACAATTTTCATAAGATACATATAACATTCTGTAAACCGTATAAAAAGTCTAATAAATCCTAAACAGATTATTAAAAGTTATAAAATACAATAAAATATCTGTTAAAATATTTTCCTGGCAGTGATGGATACGAAGGTGAAGGTGACTACTGTTATCAAATAGGTACACTGACTCTTCACCATCTCTATATTCTGTGACGATATATGGCGGAAAACATTTTTACATACACAACACAACACAACACATTGATACACTGAACAAGACGTGAATCATGGCATGTATAAAATTGAACTGCTCAAACATCAGTAGAGTATTGTCTCATTCTCTGGTGATGGCTAGAAAATGTTCACCGAGTATCAGATCAGGCTGACGGGGTAGCCCTTGTATCAGCAATGCCTGCAGGATCCTTGAAGTAGCATGATAGTCCTTCCCCTGGCACTCTTAATATCAATACCATTCAGTGGACTAAGTGACATCTGGGAAAAGACATAATGAATATCTTAGGGTCCATTCCACAAACCATCTTAGCACTGCCAAGACTGTGTGGGTACAGGAGTTAATCTAAGATTCTAGTAAAGGTATCCAACAAGGTCCTGTATTTCTTGATGTCATATACTGTTCACTAGTCCCTTGCTGCTGAGAGCTTGTCTCCAGTTCGCTTGGAAATCCTGTCCTCTAGGATAACTCCTCCTCTGTCACCTTCTCCAGCTCGGGGCACTTGTCGTGGGTGATGCAGCGGCCGCCGTGCAGGACCTTGTTGGCGGGGCACTGACAGCTGGCCACACACGGCTTGTAACAGTTCTCCTCCAGGTTGCCGAGGGGCGTGTCCAGGTTCTCACATGTCCGGGGGCACACAGGACCACAGTCATCAAACATCAGCCCAGTGTCAGGGGGGCACTCGAAGGCTGAAACATAATACATACGTCAGTGTCACAAGCCACCAAGTGAAAGTTAGTTGGCTTTATACTGTTTTTACCAATAAACCAGTAATACCACAGTAGGGACCACGAGAAATTACCTTTACACATTGCACCCATGTAGGGAATCGAACAAGAGTCTTCAGTGTAACAAGAGAACTAACCAATAGGCTACCTCACTGCTCTAAAACATCGAAGGAATATATCATACAAAGAAACCAAACAATATGATGACCTAAGACACTCAGTGCCCAATTACATTGTGATGATGTAGTTGCAGACAAAAGAATGAATATTTCTTGTACAGACTTGAGATCACGTACCACACAGATTATTGGTTCTCCACTGGACTTTGACCTTGGCCTTTGCACATTCATGTGCGTAGGATGCCAGGATGTCACAGAGACAGTTGGGGTTGTCTGCACATGCACACATGTCATACACACATGAGGAGAAGAACGGTTCAGGGGAGACGACCTTGTGACATCGCGAGAATACTTTGCTCTGAAATACATCAGAAGGTTAGTGGGTCAAGGTCATTCAAAGAAAATGGCAAAATGTCATTTGCACATAGTGTGATACATCAGCTGCTAAGAAGCATACACCATAAGTCTATAAGGGTTTTAGCAAATACCATCCAGTTAGTCTCAATCATCGGTTCAGCCGTCAAGTTCCAGTTAGAATCAATCTTCTGCTGCATGGCAACTATTACGATACGATCGGGCAGTCAGACTTGCTGTCTTGGTTGACACAAGACATTGTATACCAACTGCGTAAATCTTTGCTCATGGTGTCAATCACTGGATTGTCTAGTCCAGATTATTTACAGATTTATCAGTGGTTCTGTACAATAATCTCACTACGCCTGCTGCAAGTCAGATCTTGTTAAAGCACAGAGGTTACGATCATCTCCTTTATCCAATCAAGTATTGATCAATACACTGAAAAGTCTGCATTCCTACCGTGATGATGGAGCACTTAGTGGTGGCAATCTTCCTGGTGCGGTATCCAGCTCCTGTACATGGATCTACATCAGCGGCATCATCACACTCCGCTCCTAGCTGCTTCTTGGCCTGCAACATCATCATATATCCCATCTTTGAGTAAGTAAGTGAGTGAGTGAGTATGGTTTTACATTGCTTTTAGCAATATTCCAACAATATCACGGTGGGGGAAACCAGAAATGGGACGCTCACATTGTACCCATGAGGTGAATCAAACTGTCGGCAAAACGAGCCAATGTTTAAACCACTAGGCTACCCCACCACACTCTCCCTCTTTTGCTGGAATACTGAAGAGATAGATTTTAATGAGATTGATTGTCAGTCAAATTTAGAAGGTTAGAATAGTGATATATATATAACTACCGTCTTAAGTAAGAACATTTGTGATCATCCAATAATTAGATCTGCTCAACATAGAAAATGGCACCGAGCTCTACCAAACATGAGTCTTAAATATTGAAATGTGATTCACTACAAGCTCCTGAAGTAACGTGCACAACGTTCTTCTACACTACATCTTTTGTGCTGAAGCTCCACTCACCTTCCAACTGTTGCCAAACACTGCTGGAGAGTTTGTGATTTGACCAAACTTGGTCCGCAGATCATCATGGGGAAAACCATTGAAGTTCCCACACAGTCCACACAGCTTCCTCTTGTAACCCCCGGTAACGCTCAACTCAGCATAGCTGTCCCCATTCCACAGAAACTGTAGGATAACAATACAAAATACCATTGCCAGAAAATAATCAGACTCCATTATCTTCTGAAACAGATTCTGTTGGACGTAAAAGGAAAAATAGCAGTGAAAATAATAGACTGGATCACTCAACAATAGTAATGACACCTCATGTTCATCATATGAAAGGACCACTTAACTTTCATACTTCTTGGTAATGTAAGAAAATATATAAAGTTTTATACTCAAAGACTAAAAGTTTCTTCAACCATAGAAAATACCAAAATACAAAATTAGTTATTTGTTGTTACCAAAAGTGGTCAGAAGTAAAATTAAAAGAAACGAAAGAAGAATGAGATTTCAGATTCTTTTTCTGTTGTATGACAATATTTTGTGATGTCAGCGGTGTAAAAAATGTGTAACATTAATCATCATCTGGGAAAAAGGGATCATGGGTGGTTTTGATGCACTAACGTATAGATAAAAATTACCCTTCCCTAATGTTTGTCATATTTGTTAATGACTCTGATTATCACTGACTGTCTAAAACAAAAACTGCAAGAACCAGATATTTTTTCATAAAATAACCACTTAATCACCTGAATACCTGTATTGTTTGTATGACCTTCCCCAACAGAGTATTTTTGCTGATACCCCTAATTCCCCATGACACCTTCCCCTATCAATAATTGCTCCCTTAATGATTGGTCCATGACAGACCAAGGGATGAACAGATGAGGATCACGATACTTAGAAATGAGTAGAAAGCTGTATAGGGAACAGTGTAAAGTACACGATGCTGTTGCATCTCACCTTCAAGCCTATGTCTGTGTTGAGGAGAACGGTGCTGCCAGACATCTCCAGGTGGACACGTGACCCATACAGGAATGGCAATTCCACAACACGGCCGTTGACCTAACACAAAGATCAAGTTCACATCATAGGCTGTTAGCTACACTCAAAGATCATCAGCAATTGGCAGTGTCTGTTACTCTTCAACAACTGTCCTCGGGTGACAACAGAAAACTTGAGTGTGTGTTGTTGTGCTGTTGTGTTGATGCATGTTTTATTATATTTCTCTAGCCCTTTCAGATGGAAATATGGAAGCAGTTGTGTGACAACAGATACCGTGAGACTACATTCTGCCATACCGATCTGAGGTTGTGTGTTGATCATTTATTAATGTTACTTGATGTTACAAAGTTAGTACAGAGGCTACTCCGAGAGGTGAGTGAGTATGTTTTTTTACCGCTTTCAGCAATATCATGGACCACAAATGGGCTTTACACATTGTACCCTGGGTATTGAACTCAGGTCTTTGGCGTGACGAGCAAACACTTCTTCCACTAGCCTACCCCACCACCTCTATTCAGGAGAGATGAGGTAACATACTGTGAACCCCGAGTTCCATGCATACTGCACCTCTGGATTATCCCCAGGGAGTTGAGACAGAATTACACAATGTATGCACCTTTATTATGATTTAAGCTTCCTGTCTGAATGGAAAGAGTTATCTACCTTGACAACATGGTTCTGTAGCATTTCAATGATGATGTCACTCATGGTGATGGTGAAGTTCTGCGCCCAGGAAACATCCCCAGGTGCATTCCGATCGTCATGTTGAACTTCCACTCTGTAACACAACAGGTTTTTTGTTTGAAAGTAAAGGACAGTTGAAATATGAATCAAACAGCTAATTTGAAGACTGTAATTTAGCCTAAAAATAACTGGCATTCAATTTTCGTATTTTAACATGTGCAGTTTCCAAAGTACTTATCTCTATATGAAATAATCTTGTTTACTCACGTAAAGTTGTTGTTCTCACAGTCTGCAGCCATGATGTATCGACACATGCCTTGGAAGTGGATGGTGGTGCCGTCAAAGCTGCGGTAGTGAGGGTCTCCGAACACGATGCAGGTGCCTGGCTCTGGAGGAAAAGGTACAAGGTACATACAGAGAGGGGGACAGTTATCAACAGAAACCAACCTGTCACCAAGTCCCATTTCACATCATGGATGTCATTCTCGATTTGCTTGAAGAAGTCAGCTTTATTAGACTGATATATAATATTTAATTTCATATTTTTAAGTGGCATTTTAAAAGCTGTATCATTAACATCTATGATACTAGCATCTGTACCAAATAAACACACTGAACAAAACAAAGAAGTTGAAATCAATACAATAACTCACAAACAACTTATAAGATATATGTTAGATATATACTGGTAATTTGCATATTGTTTAATTGCCATGTTGAGAAAGACATTAGTCCAAACTTACGTTTGAGACACACTGGGCAGCAGTTGCCAGGGGTAACAGTTGGAACTTCATCAGGAGTGCAGTCCAGAACAGGGCACTTCTTAATTGCACACTTCACTTTACCAGCAATACACTTGCAGCGGGTGCACTCGTCTAGCGGCCACTCGTCTCCTGGCTGGGGAGGTGACGCAACAAGAAAGATAACTGTTACAGAGAACCTTCAGAATGATAACTCTTTCCAACAAGATAAATAACTCTTTTCAACAATAAAGATAACTCTTGTCAACAAGACAGATAACTCTTTTCAATAAGACAGATAACTCTTGTTAACAAGATAGATAACTCTTCTCAGTAACAAAAAAATGAAACAGTCCACAAAAGCAGCAATTATTTACAATGATTTACAAACCTCTTAGAAACTGTTCTCATAACTGTTAAGTTAACACCATTGTGTACAGTATTTCAGCTGTGCTACACCAGCATAATCTATGAGAAGCGCCCTAAGTGATGCTGGTCTGAGATGTTACGGCTAAGGTTTGGATGGTCTCGTACCTGATAAACAGTGTCGTAGTAGACACATGTAGCATCCTCAACCGGCTGACACACCTCACAACAACCGGTAGCGTCGGGGACAAGCTGTTCCGCTGCTGTACACTGTACAGGGGGACACTCCTGGAGGCTACATCTAACCTCTGACCTTTCACACCGACATGTGACACACTGGTTGTCGGCTGCTGACCACACGTCCCCTTCCTTGTAGTACTTCCCTTCTGTCTGGTCATAGCAGGCTGACATGAAGAAATCATTGTCACTTTCACATGGCAAAACCATCAGATTTACACAAAGAAAGTAAATGCTTTCTCTGGCTATTTGGGAATGGAGTATAATTGTTCCATATATAAATACAACCAAGCAATAATGACATTATTTCCTTGTTTAATCAAGTTTGAGTGTATGATTGTTTAGGGCTACAGCTAAAGATTCCATGATTCCTATCATGAGCTGTAGTATGTGCCACTGGGGTATAGTGTTGGGAATTGGTTAAAATCTCATAATTGATGATTGGTTCATTACTACTGATCAATCATCGAAAATAATTGGTTAGCGTCATTTATGAAATTTGTTAATGCACATTAAAATTATGAGAAATTATGATCGATTGCTTGGTCGTTTAGTCACTACGACCAATCTTCGATTATTTCAATTAATCGGACCACCACTACTGGGGTACAATGTCTAACCAGTCTGACTAGCCATTCCGTTGAGTCACCTCTCGGCATAGGTTGCTGGGGACCAAATCTAACCCAGCATAATCACTGTGAAAATCTGACTGTAGCACTGTGCATTGAAGATTTGATATATAGATATATCTGAAGACGCTAAGATATTGGATAGAGCATGACTAATAGGTATTTAAACTGCAAAACTACGAGATTTGACTAGACCATGCTAAGAGATTGGAATGGACAAGACTAACAGAAAAAATGTTGATACTAAGAGATTGGAATAGACTAGACAAAGAGATTGTAATGGGCAGATCTAAGAGATTGGGATAGATAAGAGTAAGAGATTGGAATGGAAAAGACCAAGAGCTCGGCATGGACAAGACCAAGAGATTGGAAAGGGCAGGTTTTAAAGATTGGAATGGACAAGACTAAGAGACTGCAAAGGAGAAGCCTAAGAGATTGGAATAGACAAGGCTAAGAGATTGGAATGGGCAGGTTTTAAAGATTGGAATGGACAAGACCAAGAGATTGGAATGAGCAGGACCAAGAGATTGGAATGGACAAGACCAAGAGACTGGAATGAGCAGGACCAAGAGATTGGAATGGACAAGACCAAGAGACTGGAATGAGCAGGACCAAGAGATTTGAATGAACAAGACCAAGAGACTGGAATGAGCAGGACCAAGAGATTGGAATGGACAAGACCAAGAGACTGGAATGAGCAGGACCAAGAGATTTGAATGAACAAGACCAAGAGACTGGAATGAGCAGGACCAAGAGATTGGAATGGACAAGACCAAGAGTTGGAATGAGCAGGACCAAGAGATTGGATTGATTCAAGTTACTTACGTGGACACTTGGGGCAGCACTGTCCTCGTGTGAAGATCTGGACAGTTGGTGGACAGCTGAGAGGCTTGCACTGTTCCTTCATACATTCCCACTGGAAGTCCTCCTGTGTCGGATACAGAGTAGATATAAGTCCCTCACAATACATCAACAGAAGAATACACCACCCTTTTGATTTGTCTTAGGAAATATGGTTGGACATCATTCAACATGGTAATTGTGTTACAACCTGGCACGTGATCTCTGTGTACTAACCTTGCACTCACAGTAGAAACAAGGCTCCTCGGGGCGTGGGTGTGTACGTCGACCGATCTCGGTCCTGGTGCAGGTCGTACCGACTGCAACACAACACGACACATCACAACACAACCAAATACAAGTGTAAGCTGTGATGTAGTAAATCATACACATATGCATTGGATAATCTGTTGCTCAAGCATGGATCTGACACGAACATTGTAACACCATTCCATACAATAATTATGTTATTACCGAGAACGATGTTGACCAAAATTAATCTTGTGTGAGTGTGAGTGAGTTTAGTTTTTACGCCACTTTTAGCAGTATTCCAGCAATATCACGGCGTGGGACACCAGAAATGGGCTTCACACATTGTGCCCATGTGGGGAATCGAACCCGGGCCTTTGGCGTGACGAGCGAAAGCCTTAACCACCTACCCCACCGCCCTTATTAATCTTGAATCAGGATTGGTGACTGAGCATGGTTTATAACTGTTATGAACAGTATCTGTGACAGCAAGTCAGCTTCCAGGTGGACGAATGCCAGGAAAAATACCTCATGAATGTTGGTGGTTTTCATCACTTGCTGCATCATACCAAGATGTAAAATGATGGTACTTTTTGTGTTCCTGACTGGTGCTCAGCGTTAAGGGAATAAAACAAGGTTTGCTCAGAGAATTTATTCTGTGTCAGAGTGAGGAATCCATGTTAACACTGGGGCAAAGTATTTCAGGGACTAGCCCTTTACAACCAGCATGAGTGTTGGTCACCAGCAGTCACCCAATCACACATTGCTGTACAAGTGCAATAATCTTGAATGTGATATCATTCCACGTGTTACCTCACCTCCCAAAAGCACCCCTTTGACCTCCAGATTGGATAAATAATGAAAGGACCAATTTGAGCAGTTAAAGTCGGGAGTGTGCATGTAGAAAGGGGAGACAACTCACATCCAGCACAGGAAGGACAGCACTCTCCTGGGGCTGCAGCAACCAGCTGCTCTGGGGGGCAGTTGGCGGTGCTGGGACATGCCTCGTGGACACACCTCAGGTGACCATCCTGGGAACAGAGACATGGATAAAGACAATCATCGTCATGGTGATCAAAATAGACATCCACACTCCTGGGGATTATGTGTCTGACTCTGAAAGCATGGGTTCAAATCCCAGATGGGACTCAACCTAACATAAGTACTACAATCAGAACTTTACTGAGAAAATTTAATCCTAAATATAAAATATGTTACATTTAACCACTTTCTAAATGGCATTGTGTATTCATCAGGACTCCATTTTTAAACTACCCCAAGAAAGGATTTTCTATTTGGCTGATTGAGATAATGCTAGAATATTGCAAGAAAGAGGATTTTGTTATAAGTATATCATCACAACCAAGTTGGATATCACAACTATAACATGACACTGAGGGCATATCTCACCTCACAAGTACAGTAGTCACATGGGTCGCCATTGGGAGTGAAACCCTCCCCGTTCTTGTAGCGCCGACCCTCAAAGTTACATGCTGAAACACACAAACAGTAGGTGAATATGGAGACAAGAGAATGGGAGATCAGGGCCCTGTTCCTCAAAGCGATCGTAGCGCTACGACTGTCGTAAGTCTATGTTAAAGTATGGGAGTTACGATCATCTTAGTGTTACGATCGCTTTGAGGAACGGGGCCCAGAATAGTTAATGGCAGATTGTAAATGCTGAACTTTGAAGAGTGAATGATGAATGTACAGAAAATGTTGAACAGAAATGTTGAACAGTGAATGCTGAACAATATATGATGAGTGCTGCAATGTGACCAGTGAATGGTAAATGCTGAACAGTGAATGGTAAATGCTGACCAGTGAATGGTAAATGCTGACCAGTGAATGGTAAATGCTGACCAGTGAATGGTAAATGCTGACCAGTGAATGGTAAATGCTGACCAGTGAATGGTAAATGCTGACCAGTGAATGGTAAATGCCAGTGAATGGTGCTGAAAATGCTGCTGACCAGTGAATGGTAAATGCTGACCAGTGAATGGTAAATGCTGACCAGTGAATGGTAAATGCTGAACAGTGAATGGTAAATGCTGACCAGTGAATGGTAAATGCTGACCAGTGAATGGTAAATGCTGAACAGTGAATGGTAAATGCTGACCAGTGAATGGTAAATGCTGACCAGTGAATGGTAAATGCTGACCAGTGAATGGTAAATGCTGACCAGTGAATGAATGGTAAATGCTGACCAGTGAATGGTAAATGCTGAACAGTGAATGGTAACTGCTGACCAGTGAATGGTAAATGCTGACCAGTGAATGGTAAATGCTGAGTGAATGATGGTGAAAGGTAAATGCTGAATGACCAGTGAATGGTAAATGCAGTGAATGGTAACATGAATGGTTGAACAGTGAATGGTAAACCAGTAAATGAATGGTAAATGCTGAACAGTGAATGGTAACTGAATGGTAAATGCTGAATACTGAAGAACAGTGACTGTGGTAATGCAGTGAAGTGCTGAACAGATGAAAGCTGACCAGTGAATGGTAAATGAAATGAATGGATGAACAGTGACCAGTGAATGGTAAATGGTATTAGTGAAAGCTGAACAGTGAATGGTGAATACTGAAGAGTTAGCAGCAGTAAGTGCTGAACAGAGAATAGAAATAGATGAACAGGTAAATATTAGTGAAAGCTGTAAGTGCATGGAAATTGTTGAACAATGAATGGTAAATGTGGAAGAGTGAATGGTGAATGTTAGACAGTGAATGGTAAAAAGTTTAAATTGTTAATGGGTATTGATAATGAATGCTAATGGTTGAAATATGAATGGTAAACAGTGAAGGGTGACAGAATGGCAACTCACTGGGACAAACAGGGCAGCACTGGCCTGGGACCTGGACAGGCTCATCACACGGGACGTAGCAGTCCACCTCCATGCAGGTCACCAGGCCCCCGCTGCATGTACACGAGATGCACGGGTTCTCCGGCAGGATCCACATCGCTCCTGTATCATACTGGGTATCACGGAACTCACAACCTAGATAGGGAACATAAAATAATATAACTCACAACCTAGATGGGGAACATAAAATAATGGATCTCACAACCTAGATGGGGAAATAAATAATAATAGAACTCACAACTCGATGGGGAATATAGAAGAATAGAACTCACAACATAGATAGGGAATATATGATAATGGAACTACTTAGGTTGTTTAGAATAATGGATCTCACAACCAAGATGGTGAATATATGATAATGGAACTCACGACCTAGATGGGGAATATAGAATAATGGATCTCACAACCTAGATAGGGAATATAGAATAATGGATCTCACAACCAAGATGGGGAATATAGGATAATGGAACTCACGACCTAGATGGGGAATATAGAATAATGGATCTCACAACCAAGATGGGGAATATAGGATAATGGAACTCACGACCTAGATGGGGAATATAGAATAATGGAATCCACAACCTAGATGGGGAATATAGAATAATGGATCTCACAACCAAGATGGGGATAATGGAACTCACGACCTAGATGGGGAATATAGAATAATGAATCTCACAACCAAGATGGGGAATATATGATAATGGAACTCACGACCTAGATGGGGAATATAGAATGGGGAAATAAATAATAATAGAACTCACAACTCGATGGGGAATATAGAAGAATGGAACTCACAACATAGATAGGGAATATATGATAATGGAACCACTTAGGTTGTTTAGAATAATGGATCTCACGACCAAGATGGTGAATATATGATAATGGAACTCACGACCTAGATGGGGAATATAGAATAATGGATCTCACAACCTAGATAGGGAATATAGAATAATGGATCTCACAACCAAGATGGGGATATAGGATAATGGAACTCACAACCTAGATGGGAATATAGAATAATGGATCTCACAACCAAGATGGGGAATATAGAATAATGGATCTCACAACCTAGATGGGAATATAGAATATGGATCTCACAACCAAGATAATGGAACCTCACAACCTAGATGGGGAATATAGAATAATGGATCTCACAACCAAGATAGGGAATATATGATAATGGAACTCACGACCTAGATGGTGAATATAGAATATTGGATCTCACAACCTAGATAGGGAATATAGAATAATGGATCTCACAACCAAGATGGGGAATATAGGATAATGGATCTCACAACCAAGATGGGGAATATAGGATAATGGAACTCACGACCTAGATGGGGAATATAGAATAATGGAATCCACAACCTAGATGGGGAATATAGGATAATGGAACTCACGACCAAGATGGTGAATATATGATAATGGAACTCACGACCTAGATGGGGAATATAGAATAATGGATCTCACAACCTAGATAGGGAATATAGAATAATGGATCTCACAACCAAGATGGGGAATATAGGATAATGGAACTCACGACCTAGATGGGGAATATAGAATAATGGATCTCACAACCAAGATAGGGAATATATGATAATGGAACTCACGACCTAGATGGGGAATATAGAATAATGGAACTCACGACCTAGATGGGAATATAGAATATTGGATCTCACAACCAAGATGGGGAATATAGGATAATGGAACTCACTTACCTAGATGGGGAATATAGAATAATGGATACAACCTAGATATATAGAATAATGGATCTCACAACCAAGATGGGGAATATATGATAATGGAACTCACGACCTAGATGGGGAATATAGAATAATGGATCTCACAACCTAGATAGGGAATATAGAATAATGGATCTCACAACCAAGATGGGGAATATAGGATAATGGAACTCACACCTAGATGGGGAATATAGAATAATGGATCTCACAACCTAGATAGGGAATATAGAATAATGGATCTCACAACCAAGATGGGGAATATAGGATAATGGAACTCACAACCTAGATGGGGAATATAGAATAATGGATCTCACAACCAAGATATTGAATATATGATAATGGAACTCACGAACTAGATGGGGAATATAGAATAATGGATCTCACAACCTAGATAGGAAATATAGAATAATGGATCTTACAACCAAGATGGGGAATATAGGATAATGGAACTCACAACCTAGATGGGGAATATAGAATAATGCATCTCACAACCAAGATAGGGAATATATGATAATGGAACTCACGACCTAGATGGGGAATATAGAATAATGGATCTCACAACCTAGATAGGGAATATAGAATAATGGATCTCACAACCAAGATGGTGAATATATGATCATGGAACTCACGACCTAGATGGGGAATATAGAATAATGGAATCCACAACCTAGATGGGGAATATAGGACAATGGAACTCACGACCTAGATGGATCTCATAACCTAGATGGGGAAATATAGAATAATGGATCTCACAACATAGATGGGGGAATATAGAATAAAGGAACTCACAACCTAGATGAGGAATATAGAATAATCAAAACTTAAAATTAATTAATGGAACTCACAATCTAGATGGCAGAATATGATTACAGAGCACAACACAGCATCAAAGATTTCACTGCCATAGTTACTTTCAGTTTGAGGAACATCTGCCACTTGTAATAGCATTACAGTGATCGGGTGTCATGTTAATGCAGACCAATTTCTTTATGCTAAGACATCAGGTTAGACGGCAGCCCAAATGAACAGAGGAGAGATGACAAGACATGAGTAATGTCATCAGCAATAGTTTTCTGCACGTGGCTGCCAACTGTGTGCAGCATGCAAGTCTTTCAAGGACTGGAAAAACAAGAACTGGGATCTTACCTTTACATTTCTCACAGCACTGTCCCGGAGGTGTCTCCTTCATGAGGCAAGTCAGAGCTGGACACTTCTCTTCTTCACACACCACATTCCCGTCCTACACAACACAGGATCTACTTTAGTACACTAGAACATTCCCATCCTACACAACACAGGATCTACTTTAGTACACTAGAACATTCCCATCCTACACAACACAGGATCTACTTTAGTACACTAGAACATTCCCGTCCTACACAACACAGGATCTACTTTAGTACACTAGAACATTCCCATCCTACACAACACAGGATCTACTTTAGTACACTAGAACATTCCCGTCCTACACAACACAGGATCTACTTTAGTACACTAGAACATTCCCATCCCACACAACACAGGATCTACTTTAGTACACTAGAACATTCCCGTCCTTAGGTCCGAGAAACCTTACATCACATTTACTTTGAGTGAGTGAGTGAGTTTTACGCCGCACTCAGCAATATTCCAGCTATATAGCAGCAGTCTGAAAATAATCGAGTCTGGACCAGATAATCCAGTGATCAACAGCATGAACATCAATCTATTGGGAACCGATGACATGTGTTAACCAAGTCAGCGAGCCTGACCATCCAATCCCGTTAGTCGCCTCTTACGACAACCATGGGTTACTGAAGATCAATATTCTAACCCGGATCTTCACGGATCACATTTACTTTCATACCTGTTTTACAATATTAAAGTCTGAGACCAATCTTCCATTAGATGAAGTCTTAGATTAGGTCTGAGACTGATCTTACAAAGCCTGATCATGCATTAAGTCTAAGACAGATTTTAAATTGGATCTGTGACTGGTCTTACCCTACATGAGCACCTCCTGCAGGGATCTGGCTGGAAGGACTGTCCATTCCTGTACAACGTGTCCTCGAAGAAGCAATCCGTACACAGAGGGCAGCACAGGTCTTGGCGGGGATGTGTACACTTGACGATACACTGCTCCCGCTCACACTTGACTCGCCCCATCTGAGGAAGAGTGAGTGAGTTAGTTTAGTTTTACGCTACACTCAGCAATATTCCAGCTATATGGTGGCAGTTTGTAAATAATCAAATTTGGACCAGACAATCAGCAGCATGAGCATCGATCTACGCAATTTGGATACGATGACATGTGTCAAACAAGTCAGTGAGTCTGGCTACCCGATCCCGTTAGTTGCCTCTTACAACAAGCATAGGTTACTGAAGACCAGTTCTAACCCAGATCTTCACGCGTCGAGGAAGCCATAAACAATAGTTAAATTACACAAATTTTCACTCATAATGTCTTCAAAAGCATCAGCAAAACTGTCTAGTCCTACATAAAGCCTCTTCATAAAGAAATCATTTACAAGAATATTACGTCCATTGTGTTAAGATGTTACAAAAGAGAAAGACAATTATGCATATAACAATACAGAAAATGGTCTTAATCAGTTGTGTAGTTATGAGAGAGTGTGGTTTTATGCCATATTCAGCCATATTCCAGCAACGTCTAGACAGTTGATGACATCATAAAGTGAATGTAAACTGGAATATGGATGATAAATAGAAGCTGACTATTGTCTTTTGGTATCAAATATATCCACTATCATCCATATAATTTTAAATTTTAATTTAAGATTTGGTGTTTTACATTTATAAACTTTTATTGATTTATTTGACACTCAGTGAGATTCTCTTGTTAATCACTGATTAACAGCCATCATCACTCGCTCTTCGGGACACAATAATCAAAGCAAATCCTAAGTCATAAAGTAGGACCGCAAATGATTAGTGAATTCTGGGACAATCTAAGTTTATTACTACACATTATACAAGAGGTAGGCTACTTGTGAAATTAACACAATCATCTAATTAAGGCAAGAATAACAAAGTTCCACACATCCTGTGTTGGAAGCAGTGTTGTCAAGTTGTAAATTTACCCTGTGACCAGTGAGGCATAGCTACTGTATTTATGACTAGTGAGCTCAGACATTAGAAATACCATAACAGAACTGATTAGATTTAATAATTATGTCATAAAATTTTAAAAAGAAACTCATTATTAATACAATGTAATTATCATTCCTTTCCATTTGCACCATTGTGAAGACTGACTGACTGAGTATGGTTTTACGCCGTTTTGAGCAATATTCCAGCAATATCAAAATTGAAACACCAGAAATCGGCTTCACAAATTGTACCCATAAAGGGAATCGAACCAAATTCCTTTATTATTGTGCATTTTTAAAGTGAGCGCTTTAACCACTAGGCTACACCATAAATTCAAATTAGCTTGGTAGTTTTAGTTAAAAATTAGTCAATGCCAAACCAAATAGTAAAATTGTAAACATGAAAAATATGAGAAAAATAAAAATTAAAAACCAAATTCTTTATTAAGCATTTTTAAAGTGATAAATGTGCGGATGATGTGACTTCCTATAAATTCTTTTTGGCCTTTGTATTTTCTAATCCTACTGAACAGACACAGCATGGGATTACCTACCTTGCACGTGCAGGACTGGCAGTTGTCTTCAGGGTGCTGGAATCGACTGTCATCAGGATATGTCTGGCCAAGGAACTGGCACACTGAGGACAACAGAGTGACAATGTTGTATATGTTGTAAGAATTCGAGGAAAACTGGTCACGACAGTAACCTGTGACCTGGCACACAAATCCAGGTGTGGCCTAGGTGTGGGTCTATTTCTTGGTTTGTCAGCACCAAACTGGTGCTTGAGGATTTCACCAAATGGGTAAATATTAAGGACCTGCATCATTTTGGGCTTTTTACCCACAACAAGCATACACCCTGTGATATAACTGGAATACTGCATTAAAACCAACTCAATCGCACTGAAGGGAAACACGAATGGTTGTGACTCAATTAAAGGTGTAACTGTAGCTGCCAATACTAGTGATGCAAGTGATGCTCTCGGGTATCACTGATTATGCCAAAGTAAAGGTGATGCTTCAGTTATAGACATGGTGGGATCATTTGTACTTGCATATACAACTGACTGACTGACTGAGTTTGGTTTTACGCAGCTTTTAGCAATATTCCAGCAACATCACGTCAGGGGACACCAGAAATGGGCTACACACATTGTACCCATGTGGGGATTCGAACCGGGTCTTTGGCGTGACGAGCCAACGCTTTAACCACTAGGCTACCCATCACCCCTACATATACAAACCTACATGACACATAACAGAATGTGTTTTCTTCATCGTTGGGTCAAATATTTGTAAACCAACTAGTTTAGAATCAAAAGTGTTATATATGAACTATTATCAGCTGTGCTTAGTAATAAAATATACTGAGACTCAGGATAGTGAGTAGTGCTGAAGTCAGACTATCTTGATACTATCTGTGTACTTATCCAATCACATATCCTGACATCTTATACCCAGCTCCATTTATACTGACTACCACTGTAGGGCTAGATGGGGGCATCATCCACATTCATGCAGACTATAGTCCGTTTGTCTCAAAAGCGGACCGATGAATTGCAATCTAACTCGAAAACTAATAAACATAAAATACTCAATGAAACACTGATCATAATGAAAACGTCACACCAACTCTGAGAAAGGGACAGCCGGATGTGCGAGAAAGGATGGAGACGGCACAGCACAGGTTAATGAATCAATAACTTTGTCGGCGCTTGTGCACATGCTTCTCTAACACCTGGCTGTCCCTTTCTCTGCACTCCTCCCTCGTAACAAATAGTGAACTGTGTCAATATTTTAATGATAGTTTGTTAAACAACTTTTTTAATTTTAGGACATAAATTCTGCAAACAAATCACAGAGCTGATATTTTGATTATGATCACCGTTTCATTGAGTATTATATGTTTATTAGTTTTTGAGTTAGATTGCAATTCATCGGTCCGCTTTTGAGCCAAACGCACTATACCTACAGGAGTGTTATTGTTGTAACTGATATTGAAGCTCTGTGACATACCTGGACATGTAGGGCAGCATTCGTTGGGAAGCTGGACGGGTGTCATACAGCTGACTGGTGGACACGTAATTGTCTGACAGATGATGCTACCTCCCTGGCAACACATTCAAATTGACATATGACTGTCTGACAAATAATGCTACCTTCCTGGCAACACATTAACTAGGGCTGGGAGGGGTCCATATTTTCTATCCGGGTACCCGGCCCCTATTACCCTACCTTACCCAGATACCCGTTACCCGTTAATTCCTGACATCAAATTTGTAAGAAAGGGCAATAATTTTTTCAGCTCAGAGACTAAAAGTTTGAGTTTTTCAATATCTTAACCATGTATTATATTCACATGAAGTGACTGTAATTATGTCTAAATCTTCAAAGACAATGCAACCTTTTAATTCTTGAAAGAATAACCTATTGCATTGTTTAATCTATTAGTCACATGATCATAACGGGTCCGGGTACTGAGACGGGTACCTGGGTCCAACTCATTACCCAGACTAATACTGACTGATGGATGATCCTACCTCCCTGGCAACACATTAACACTGACATATGATTGGCTGACAAATGTTACTGCACGCTGGCATATGATTGTCTGAAGGATGATGTAACTTTGATGACAACACAAACACTAAGACATATGATTGTCAGAATTATAAAAAAACCCATAAAAATGATGTTGTTCACCTGACAACAAATTAACATATGACTTCTCCTTAGAAACTCCCTGAATATCCACTTCAGGGTTACAAAGTTACTTACCATACATGTACACTGTTGACAGGGATCTACATCCGATGCAAAAGATGACATCTCCTTGTGAATCCTGCCCTCGTATAGACAGTCCTGACACTCTGGACAGCAGCCATTGTCCCGAGCAGGATGGCTGCACTTCGACTGACACTCCTGACGGAAACACTGCACGGTCCCACCCTGAAACATAACACATAAATGAATGGTCCCTTGTTCAATAAAGAATGAGTACAGCAACCTTGATTTGTTCACATCTTACACAGAGATAATCACACGAGTATGAGTGTCAGTGTGATTTCCGCAAACTGAATATCAGTTCTTGTATTTCCTGAAATGAAATCCATATAAATCAGCAGCTGAAAGGGCAAGGAATGATTCCATGCCCTTGATATAGTTTGTTGTCCAACGACACAATATACCAGCAAAACGCTGGTGGCCTGTAAATAATGAACACAAGTCTGGACCTGACAATCCAGTGATGGCATGTTGAGTCAATGTTTCGGAAATCAACCAAGCCTTCAAAACTGTTGGTTACCTGGGGACATATTCAACATAAAATCCCCACTGAGGAGGAGTGATGACTTTCAAGGTCACATACTTTAACCACCTAATTCCACACGGCTTATTCATTTACCATGGGTGAGGTGAGGTGAAATTAGGTTTAATGTCATGCTTGAGAATATTTCGCTCATATGACGATGTGCATGCGTGTGTATATGTATGTGCAGCTGCTTGTACTAGCCCAGACTGAAGCTGGTTTTATAGTGCTAGCCCACTGAGATACCATGCCGCAGTGAAGCATGAGTGAGTGAGTTTAGTTTTACGCTGCTTTTAGCAATATTCCAACAACATCCTAGCGGGGATCACCAGAAATGGAGGAAAGTCTGAAATGGTGGTAATATCAAAGGATAATGAAGCGAATCGAAACATCTCTCTATGCAATAAACATTAAGTTGTTATAGACAAAGTCAAATGCTTTATTATTGACTCGCCAACTTCTAGAATGTTGCTATGAAAGAATATATGAATGAAGAATTTACTATCATGTCAAAGTCTGGCAATTATCAATGTAGGTTTATGACTGAGAGCCTACGCTGAAGGCATATGTTTATTTCTGCTGTTATTACAGCTAATTACTCTAGCTCCTGTTAAACAGCAGCCCATGTTTCAACACAGATCTAATTGTTGCTGGTACGCTTGATCTGATGGATCAACAGGAAGCAATAAACTCATCAGTGACCATTTAGGGGGTTGATAATTAAAATAATTTCACCATCAATAGATTGCACTGCTTTAGAGGAAGTTTCAAATCTTCTGGACCTACATGAAATTCACACAGGTGTATCATAGAGCTGTGATATCATAACATGTGTTTAACAATTTATTCCCTTAATTTATTTATTGCAGTATTCATCTAAGAAGCTGCAGTAGACAAAAAGAAGGTAGTAACACAAATATAATGGACATAATAATTATCGTACAGGAAGACCAGTTTCTTTTGTAACACTTTAATCAATTCAAGTGATGGACAAGTTGGTCATCTGGAGGACACACAATATTAAACTGGTTAACTAGCTAGAAACTTACCATTACTACATTCACACCATATACACCACTATTTACAAACATTTTCCAAGGAAACTTTTAAAACAAGTCTTCACTTTGAAATACAGTCTAAAAAGTCCATATGGACAAAATTGTTATCCAATAGAATTTGGAGTAAAAGGCTACAAAGAAACCTTTTTAAAAAAACAAGAAGTTTATTTTCCATCAATCACAGTATTTGGGACACAGTTTATTAGTTATTCAATTTTCTTTCAAAAATAGTTAGAAAATGTTAAAAAGATTTTACAAGGTGTCTGTGAACATAAACTATTGCCGGATGTGATGACTGGCATGACTGGTTTTGGAGTGTGTGCAAGAATGGTTTTATGCCATTTTGCAGTTACACTTAGCAACATCACTACTGCGCACACCGGGATTAGGCTCAACATAGAGTGACCATATCATGGCAATATGAAGCTGTAAGATAAAGGAACCGGATTGGTAAACAAGCATAAGCTTATATGAATGCCAGTCCAGGATACAATGGAAGAGTAAACATGTCAAGATGAACGTACAATGTGAATAATATATAAATCCAAAGCTGCTCCTCAATAGTAAACAATGAACTTCTAATTTCAGTGCCTTAATCTGTCTTAAGTTTTCATCTGTCCCTTTGCAGAACTAAAAGTATTTGTGGCTGTGTGGATGTTCATATTCATGTATATTGTATGCTTATTGTTATTTATGATACCATGTATTTTTGTAATATTGTTATGAAATGTAAGTCGAATAAATGTTGTTTTGTCTGGAGAGGCATTAATATAAGCGTTTTGCTTGTTTGCCAGTTTCTGAACAATGTATCAGAAATAAATATGTTTAAACCAATTTCAGTGCCCTCTTTTATAAATTTAACAGGAAGATCCAAAATAATTTGTTTATATGAAGTTTATACTGTTTAACAATGACTGGTGTTATTTCTTGTTTTTGCAGCATGTATATATCATTCACATTGTACATTCATCATGACGTGTGTACTCTTCCTTCCATTGTATCGCGGAGCGGTATTCATATAAGCTTATGCTTGTTTACCAATCTGGTTCCTTTCTTTGGAAATAGATATGTTTAAATCATATATGAATGTTGCAAAAGTGAGAAATAATGACAATCATTGTTAAACTGTATATGTCATACACATATTTTGACCTTCTGTGACACACATACTCAAAAATAAAATTTAATGGTGAAATCTTTTAAAGCTCCCCTAGAATACATAATTTAAATATTAGCTCTGTATATGGTGTAGTGGATTTGGATATCTGGCCACTAATGTCTTGTATGACGTCCAGGCCTACATTTGAACTCCTCTATCTCTATTATTGGAAACCTTAAAGTGGCAATTTGTAAATTACATTTTAATCATTTTTTCATGAAATCTTTTTTTTCAGATATTGACACAAACCTAGAATTCACTTTATGTCAAAGCATTTTAAAAATGAATCAAAACATAAATGTTTTTTTATCAAATAAAATAAAATTTAAATAACTGAATTAAAAATGAGCTTTAGAGGAAATGGTTGGTTAAAGTAGGCACGATATGAAGGCATTACCTAACATCAATTAGCAAATCTATTTTATGACCTAACTCAAGGTCCTCAAGAGTCCTTAATAAACATCCTCCATAAAAGCCTTGGCATTATACACACCAGTTCCTGTATCTGACCATCATAAGATGGCCACTGTCCTGTGCATATTGTCGTCACAGTTCTCAAGGTAGAATCTGGTGGCAGTGGCACAAGAAATATATTCAACATCTGTCAGATGGTGTGATTCCAGATGATACCAAATATAAAGCCACCTTCCGTTTCATTTGTGATGTGGTAGATACATATAACAGACCAAGACTACTATCGGTAAGTTGCAGTCATTCAAACAGTTCTTAGTTAAACAATAACATCTAGTTACTAGTCAACCTTGCAATTACCAAATGCCATTTTTCAAACAAAATCCTATCGATTTAGCTTCACATAACAGAAAAAGGGAAATTAATGGATGTCAATTTCTGTCATGAGGAACACAATGTGTTAGAGTATATTTAAACACCTTCATCAGGTGCAATTTCTTAGGAGAAAGACATAAGCGATTATTAAATTTCATATAAATACTTTATGGCCATAAAAGTTCAGTCAGCAGTTCCACAAATATGGATATCCTTCAATCAGTTCACAACTTTATTGTTAAAAGCAAAAGATTTTAGCAATTTTAAATTCATGTAGAAAGGATAACAGTATTATCATATTTTTCCAGACACCACTGACTCCAAAATAGTGGCTTTATATATTCCATTTGTGTAAGTGTAGATTATGTTTAGCACTATCTTGTAAAACGTATTACCAGCTGTGTCAACCCATTACCTGCACAGGTATTTACATAAGCAAGTTTTGCTTTTTAAGATCCAGATTTCTTTTGAAATGACAATAAATTAAATCATTAAAACAGGAAAAGTATATTGTAGTTTTGACCCAAAACAACTTCTATAAGTACCCCTAAAACTATGTGAACTTGTCTAAGCACAATGAAGCCTTTCAAGGCACTGTGTGTATAGTTACAGACTGGCTGCTTATAGCACTGCTACTGTACAATTACAAGCAGAATACTTGGACTCTTTTGTTAAACAAACAACATAGTACTAAACCCATCACCCTGTAGAATACCTCTATCCTATCATCACCCAAGCTAATCTGCTTGCTAAGCCCTTCCAACACTACAATCACCAGCTTGTGGAGATCGGTGTTGATACTATCCCAGATTTAAACAAAACTTACATTTTCTTTATTTTCTAAACTATTTGTTTAGATTTATTGACTGCATTAGCAGTCTGTGTTTGTCCATGTTTCTATTACATGTTTAGGGTTTGTCTGACCTTCAGAAACCAAAGGCAGACAGTGTGTCCAAAGGATCAAAGCATGAATTTAGCGATGGAACTAGTATATTCTTATTTGAAACTATGACTTTGATAGCAGAGGTTAAAATGCATTTTATCAATATTTGAAGACTTATTGTTTAAGTATGTTGTCAGATCAAGTTTGAGGTAAATGTTAAAAACACCTCACAGAATTACAAAATATGATAAAAAAAATAATCAAACTATATTTTGCAAATAAAATCAGAAATTCCATTAGCACTAAACCTTTGCCTATCATACAAAATGTACCATTTTAAAAACAAATTGTATAATTCCATATACAGTGAAACTCTGAGTCCAAATTTAAAAAAGTATGCTAACTTCGGATCACGCCATTGTCAGATAATACTATGGAAACTCTGTCTTGGAAGTAGCGATTTGAATTCTCACCTTGTTGATAGGCAGTTAGCTGAAAACCCCTCCTGTCCTTGTGGCCATTCCACAGAGGATCCATTACATTATTTTTTTTGGTGTCCTCATTTTAATCATTTGAGACAAAACAAATACTTCTACGCCAAAGGATTTGATATCAAAACTATCCTGTACAGTGATAGCCGATTTAATGATATTGAAGGTAATAATCTAACAACATCAGTCCACAGTTATATTCAAGTAACAAATCGATTCACTAAAATATAAAATCTAACAACGATACTTAACAACTCTATTAAGT